GGGTTCCCTTTGCTACACATGGTTGCCAACACGTTACATCTTGCCTTTCTGATACTAGTCACTTTGACTAGTGTGAAGTGCTATCTCATTGTGGTTTTTATTTGCATTTCTGTCATTAGTGATGGTGAGCATCTGTATGTCTGTTTTGGAAAAATGTCTTTTCGGATCGTCTACACATTTTTAATCTTTTTTTCTGCTATTGGGTTTTAGGAATTCTACATATATTTTGGATATTAACTCTTTATTGGTTACGTCATTGACAAATCTCCCATTAAGTAGGTTGCTGTGTCTGTCACTTTAAATCAGAAGCTCACAATGACGCAGCTCGCTGAGGAAGGCACAAAGAAAGCCAAGAAAGACTGAAAGCTGGCCCTCTTACACCAAACAGGCAGGCCAGGTTGCGAATGCAAGTAAGTTCTTGAAGGAAACTGAAAGTGGCATTCTGGTGAACACATGAATGATAAAGTGAGACAGCCTTATTGGTGATAGGGAGAAAGTTTGAGTGGTCTGGATAGATCATCAAACCAACCACAGCATTCCCTTAAGCCAAAGCTTAATCTAGAGCAAGGCCCTAACTCTTTTCAATCCTGTGAAGGCTCAGAGAGGTGAGGAAGCTTCAACAGGAAAGTAGAAACCTGGCAGAGATTGGTTCATGAGATTTAAGGAAAGAAGCCTTCTCCATAATATAAAAGTGCAGGATGAAGCGGCAAGTGCTGATGTAGAAGATGTAGCAAGTTATCCAGATAACTGATGCAGGTGTCTAAACAATATATATATGTTTTTAATTGAGAGAGAATGTGCGAGTGGGCAAGAGGGGCAGAGGGAGAGAGGAAATCTTAAGGAGCCTGATGTGGGGCTTGATCCCACAACCCTGGGATCGTGACCTGAGTGGAAATCAAGTCGCACACTCAACCGACTGAGCCACGCAGGTGCCCCTAAACGACAAATTTTCAGTGCGGGTGAAGTAGCCTTCTTTTGGAAGAAGATGCCATCCAAGACATTCATAGCTCGAGAGAAGTCAATGCCTAGCTTCAGAGTTTCAAAGAACAGGCTGACTCTGTTAGGGGCTATCGAAGCTGGTGATTTTAAGTTGAAGCCAATGCCCACAGGCCATTCTGTAAACAAAGCACATCTGTTGGCAACATGGTTTACTATTTTAAGCCCATGATGGACACCTAACAGCTCAGAAAAAAAAAATTTCTTTCAAAATATTACTGCTCATTAACATTGTACCAAAGAACTCTGATGGCGACGTACAACATGATTTGTTGTTTTCATGCGTGCTAACACAACATCCTTTCTGCACCCCATGGATCAAGGTGTATTTTTGACTTTAGAATCTTACTTTTGAAGAAATACCTTTTGTACAGCTGTAGCTGCCACAGAGTGATTCCTGAAGTGGATCTGGGCAACGTAAACTAAACCTGGAAAGGATTCACCATTCTAGATGCCACGAAGAACATTTGTGATTCGTGGGGAGAGGTCAAAATACCAATGTTAACAGGAGTTTAAAAGAAGTGGATGTTGGGGCGCCTGGGTGGCGCAGTCGGTTGAGCGTCCGACTTCAGCCAGGTCACGATCTCGCGGTCCGTGAGTTCGAGCCCCGCGTCGGGCTCTGGGCTGATGGCTCAGAGCCTGGAGCCTGTTTCCGATTCTGTGTCTCCCTCTCTCTCTGCCCCTCCCCCGTTCATGCTCTGTCTCTCTCTGTCCCAAAAATAAATAAACGTTGAAAAAAAAATTTTTTTTTAAATAAAATAAAATAAAAAAATAAATAAAAGAAGTGGATGCCAACACTCAAGGACGACTATGAAGGTTCCAGACTTCAGTGGAGGAAGTAACTGCAGATGTGGTAGAAATAAGAGAATTAGAATTAGCTTGATGATGTGGCTGAACTGCTGCATTCTCCTAACACTTGAATGGATGAGGGGTTGCTTCTTATGGATGAGCACAGACAGTGGTTCCTGGAGAGACAATCTACTCCTGGGGAAGATGCTGTGAAGACTGTTGAAATGACAAGAAAAGAATAAAACTTAGTAAAACAGCAGGAGGGCTTGAGAGGATTGACTCTAATTTTGGAAGAAGTTCTACTATTGGGAAAATGCTATCAAACAGCATAGCGTGCTAGAGAGAAATCTGTGAAGGGAAGTCAAGAAAATGGCAAACTTTAAGAAATTGCCACAGCCACCCCAGCCTTCAGCAGCCTTCAACATTGAGGCAACACCCTTTATCAGCAAAATGATTACAACTTGCTGAAAGCTTGGATGATGGTTAGCATTTTTTTGCACTAAGATACTTTCTAATTAAGGTATGAACTTTCAGATACAATGCCATTGCACAGGAAACAGGGTACAGTATAAACATAAACTTTTACATGCCCTGGAAAACCAAAAACATCTGACTCCCTTTATTGCAATACTTGCTTTATTGTACTGGTCTGGAACCAAACCTGTAATATCTCCAGTGGATGCCTGTATCATTTTTTTAAGTTTCTTTATTAGAGAGAGAGAGAGAGAGAGAGAGAGAGAGAGAGAGAGAGAATGAATCCCGCAGAGCCCAATGTGGGGCTAAAACTTATGAACCGTGAGAACATGACCTGAGCCGAAACCAAGAGTCAGACACTTAACTGACTGAGCCACCTAAGGCGCCACCAATGTATGCCTGTATTACTTTTGCCCCATTGTAAAAGTAAAAAATCGTAACTTGAACCATCATTAAGTTGGGGACTGTCTATACACTAGCTATGTTAAGAGAGAACTCTAATTCAGGCTTGATAACGTGATTTGTTTTCAAAATATCCAAATCAACTTTTTGTAAAATTGTTGGCCCAATTTGAATATGGGATAACTCTGAATATGAAAATGTTCTCTATATACTATATAGAATAGATATAATTAAGAAACAGAGTATAGCTACAGTGTAAGAAAAATGGTCTCAACTGTAAGTCTCTGGCTAGTTGATACGTCACTCTTTTTCATGTCTTTTCCGTTTTGTTTTGACATTTAAAATTGCCAAATAAGCCATAACTCTGAAATAAATTCTGAAGCATAAGTGACTATGTCAGTTTAAATGAAAATGCAATTCAGGGCTGTATGGAGGATATACATTTATTAACAGTGAAAAAGCGTTTACCCAAAGTGAATGTTACAAAATACAAAGAGTACCTGCACAGTCCAGTGGGCTCACTAGTTTAAGCATTATCTCAACCTGCACAGGATTCTGTCTCACTCATTTTGACCTTTCTCCCTCTTTTATCTGTAACCAGATTTTCAACTTAAAAATTAACAAACAGGAATCCTGAATGCCTCACCTCTGAGCAGTAGTTACTAAGGAAAATGTAAAACAAGTTATCTGATCTTAAGCCCCAAGTATTTTAAAACTGAATTATCTTCTCAAATAGAAAACAACAGACTAGGTTACAGCAGCTATAACACAAGTCAAATAAGTTAGATAAGGTCCACAGCTTCTAGAGTAATAACTAAGAAGTACAGTTCTTCCACCGTACCTATCTTTCATAGGCATGTAGAGAGAGACAGAGCTGTAACACGAAGGCTTGGCTTGTGTGCCAATATGAAATTCTCCCCTTTCCGTTCGGAGTCTACAAGACATATAAATATAGAACTTGAGTATCCATATAATCTATCGTTTTAGTTTCCCAGAAGTCAGGCCAACTGGGTAAGAATTCCTGATTCTGGAATGATAGTTCTCTGAATAGGTTTTTTTTTTTCTCCCCTCTCTCTCTGGAATAGGTTTTATTAATGTTGGAGATCTACACCTCACATAATTTAAATTAATTAGTAATACAGTAAATGTCCTCAGAAATCCTCACTTAACAGACTCCCCGATGAGCACTGTAATTTTACAATCAAGTATCAGGCAACTAAGAATTTTAAAGGAATACCAATGAAATGACTTTCTTACGGCATGTTTCAGTAAACTGTTATTAAGTTTTAAAGACTAATTGAAATTAAGTCTCATTTAATTCGAGAAACCTGTAAGGTTGGCTTGTTAACAGGCTCGGTGAAGCCTCCCTCAGGTATAGGTCAAGTTTGCAATCTAAAGGTAATTCACCTTTAAAAACTGATTTACTTAGTGATGAAGAAATCTCATAGATGTATCTCAAAAGCCAAGTTTGTCTAAAGGCATACAGAGAGTTAACATTCTGCTGCATAAAATTTAGTTCTGTAATCCCTACTTGAAGGGGTTTGGTTTTTCATTTAAAATTAATCATAATGTTACCTGTTTGTGCAGAAATACTCCCTAATTACATAAAACCTTTTTTTTAGGCTGTGGCAACATAGATAGGAATTGAATTCTGGAAAATATTTATCTGATAAGTATGTAAGTTCGAAGTACTAAGGACATGTGTTCTGAACTTAATCCAATTTGAACAGAATATTAATATATATTTTGTAACAACGTCACCAATATCCTGGATACCTTTATAACTTGCCCTATTCTCGCACAGGAATAAGACAATGCAGGCATTTAAAAGAATATCAGACCCAACAGCAGCAACACTCATACTATCTGGAAGCCTGGCCCAATGGCTGCTCTTTATATTAACTAGTCTATTTGTCTAACTCTTGACTGTTGCTCTTCTCTAACTATCCTAACCATACAGAACAGTGACTTCCTGTTTAGAATTCAACATCATTTCCAAGAGATTACTTTACAGATAAGTCCAACTTTATTTAAAACTACATCTTAAATTTAACAATACTAAACATCACAATTGGAGAGGAAAAAAAAAAAAAAAAAAGACCAAAAAGAAAAAAAGAAAGAAAAGAAAAACAACCCTACAGTGTATCAAGGCTTGAATCTGTCCAGAATTCAGTTTCTGATGTTTTAAACTGCCACGGGCAGAAATCAGCACACCTATCAAGAATGCAGTGTCAAACTAATTTACATTTTTATACAGATCAAAACAGACGTTTATTTAGTGCCATGTTCATGTATGCATTGACTATGTAAAGCAAGTTAGATGAGCCTCTGAAGACCTCTCACACACTTTGGGCTCCCACTGTTTCTGAAAAACAGAATGAATGCATTATAAATTACTGAATTAAGACATACTAGAATTTACTGTTCTCTTACATTAAAGTTATTACAAAAATACTAATGTAGTTTAAAAACAGGTGAGAGTTTGAGGACAGCAGACTGAGCAGATACTTCATTTCTCTTAAAAAAACTCCACTAGGAAAAAAACGGTAAAACTGATGAAATCCTGACCAAGAAAAGTGGCTGTGAGGGAAAGCAGGACAGGGGACAACAAGCCCCCAGGACGCTAAAAGCAGGCGGTGGCGCAGTGTGGGGCAAGAAGGGCTCAGCCCAGACCCCCTGAGCAGGGGCAGCTTTGAGACTCCAACTAGCAGAACTGGGCTAAACCACTGGGAAATCAGTTAAAGGTTTGACATTTAGTATCTCTAGGGAAAACAAAAATAAAAAATCTTAATTAACTGGCTGATGAATGGACAGAGAACAACAAGAAAATCCTTTGATTTTGATGCAAGACACGTTCTCATCTGAGTGGCCCAGGGGCTGTGCCATTAGATCGATACAGAAAGAAATCTGGGATTACTACTGCCTGGCTCTGCAACGAGACATACTTACACAGAATGGTCTTCAGAAAAAGTATAGAAGTTTCAACTACTATAGTTATAAAAATAAAATGTGTGTTTGCTTTCATAACCTTAATGTAAGAAGAAGAGTAAAACTGAATAGAGAAAGGAGGAAAAGGAGGCAGTCAGTGGCTGAGTAATGACCAAAGTTGATAGAACAAGCAACCAACCATATATACTTAAAATAACAAAGGTATCCTCAAACAGAAAAACCAAAAATAATAATCGTGAAAGGAGAGGTAGGTCCAAATACTCACTTTTGATAGGGAAGATAAGAGATGTCTGAACTTTTTAAATTAAGAAAAATTAAAACGATATTATTTAAAGATAAACAGTGTCTCATCCAAAAGAACTAAAAACCAGTAATTAAAACAAATGGGTTCCTCCAATTATCCTTAAGTCTTTTGTACCTTTCCTTCTTAAACAACATGCATCTATTACCTTGCTAAAATTCAAGATTTTAAAAATAGAAAATTATCTGATAATACCATTTTATACCTAATTTCTAAATTCGGCAGTGGACTAGACTTTTTACAGAATTATGCTTCCTTCCAACATTTGGCTTAAATCTTCCAAGTACTATGAATGGATGTGAAAAACAAAATGATGGTATCAAGAGTCACTAATTTTTCAATATGATTTGGTTGAAATTGGCAACTCTTACCAGGTTCTTTTAGTGTCTGAGAATTCCCAGCTAATTCTTCAGTCTGCATTTCACATAATATTTCACCAGATAAATGGTTTTTCTGTTCTTCCTCTACCATTTTCTTCCTTAGGTCTGCCTTTGGAATGAAAACAAAAAACAAAAAAACACCTCAAAATCAGTTTTCATCTCAGTAGTATTTGTTATATGAAGACAAGTTTAATTAATTAACGAAAGCAAAATACCTCTGAATATATTGTCAGTTTAAGTGGTAAATCTTCAACTTTCACGAAGTCTTCTTCATCAGATTTTTGACTTATGTTACCAGACTCTGCTTCCTGTAAGATAAATTATATTTAATGAAGGCAATCCACTCTATCTCTGGATCTAAGCCTTTAAAGTCATCCATGCCAAGAGATAAAGTGGATTCTTAGACATAAGTACACATCAGTAATTCCATCCTATTTGTTTTTGTCCTGCATTCAACTCCATGAATAAAACAAAGCTGGCGTGCACAGGAAGGGCCATGCACTTGCAGCTGTGGACATACTACCAAGCACATCTGTCTCCATTTGATAAAACAAAGAGCCAGTTTATATAGGTTCAAAGAAAAAATAGCAGTTACACCGAAGGCTAAAATAATCAGAAGAAAAACTCTGGTTTCTTGATACGATTATGGAACGCATCAGAACTGTATCTAGCGGACTATCAATAAACATTTATAGGCTTTCAATAGCAGCTCTGTGGAAGCTGAGAAACATGAGGTATGAATCTAATAACTCCCTTCTGTGATCTCTTCAGTGTTTCTTTGAAACCTGAAATCTTTTATATCCCTCGTTTCCCTTTCTGATTTTTAATGATATCACTGTACCAATTACCCAAGTGGAAACCTTAAATTTTTCTTCTTCTTTGAACATTTCTCACCCATCTCTCCCTCATTCATCTAGAACTTGGTGTCTCTATGCATGGTAAGGGAGCTTCCTAACATCACCTCCTTGACAACAAATCTTATACAGTCATCAGATTCATCTTCAAAAAGCATGACTTTGGCCATTTGACTTTCTTGCACAAGAACCTTCAGTAGTGGCCCTGGCCTAAATTTCAAATTCAAGTCCCCTCTATAATCAAACATTAACTTAATTTCAATTGACTGCCTCCTACAGCAACTCTATGCACTCATCAAATTAGAGTAAGAATAAGTCTAACAGGTAACTTTCAGAGTTTAAAATAATTTTATGGTGTAAATTTTACGGTGGTAAAGCAATCAAGACAGTTAAACTCTACTAATATTTCGGGAATATTATAAGCTGAGAAATTATGAAATCATAATTGTAAATACATCTGTAAGAAGAAAGTTGATGTTAAAAGAAAAAAAGTGAAATACGTTCCTTAGGCCTAAAAGTGCATTGTTATAAATCCCTTAATTTTTGCTGACAAGTTTATAAAACACAATCTGAGATCCAAAAAAAAACCTACTTACTATAAAAATTAAATTGAAACAAAAATGTCCAAGGTAAAAACTCAACTTACACCCTAAGTATAGATTTGCTACCATATTTTTCTGTCATTTACTGTATAGAGATAAGGAGTCTGCTGCTGTCAAACTGTGAACTTTCAGGTTTATCAAGGATTTATGAAATGCTCTAAAATAATTAAGATGTTAGACATGGATACTGTGAGAGATTAACGGTGACCCGCGTATCATCTGTCCAAATCTAAACTTGGAATGAACTCTGAAGTGTCAAACTAATTTACATTAGTAAATTAATGTCAAACTAATTGACATCATTGGACGTCATTTCCACCTAAAGCTCAAAATTATAAAAAAGAAGAGCTTTTAGGTTTTGAGACAATCATCTTAATTTACTATCACCCTTCTGTTCAAGTTTAAAATCAGTTTGAAAAGAAAACCATCTTGGCTGTTACTAAGCCTAGACACAAAGGAAAGTTCTGTGTACAGACTGTAAATGTTAACTTGGAAATGGAGAAATACACACAGAAATGAAATGTAAATGATACGTACATAGTCATTGACTAACACTGGAGATTCAGTGTCAGGACTTCCGGCCAAAGAGCTTTCAGGAGTTTCCTGGGCAGATTTAACTTCTTTGACTGCAGGCACCAAGGTTTCAATTTCAGTTAAAGGTAAAGGCAAAGGGTTCGGCTGTTTAGATGAATCAATGGTAGTAAGAGAGTCCTTTTGGATGGCGCTATTTAAAGGTTGCTCATTTTCCAAGATGTTGAGGTAACAGGGTTTCACAGGAGTGCTATCTTGGTCATCTGCAATCAAAAGAAAGTCTTAACATTAATGTAATGAAACAGCTATTATATTTTACTATTATACCAAATAGGCAGTATATATGAATGAGTAATCAAGGTATTTAAAACCCAAAAGAAGAGGCAGCTACAAATTTTCCTTATCAATGGTTCCTAAAATTAGTTCATCAGATTCATCTGGGGATGTTTTAAAAATTAGATTTCTGAAATCCACCCAATTTCTAATGAAGTAGGATATTCATGAATAATATCCAGGAATGGGCATTCTAAAAAATCCCCCACATTTGTAGCTAAAGATGTCTTCTTTAAAGACTTTTTTCTGTGTGTTTATTTGTCAACTCTTGTTTAACAAGTGTTTGCCGAAACAAAGCCCTCATGTTTTCTACAAAGGACTTAGGGGAAGGAAAAAAGACATACATCAGGTTCAAAACACCTTCCAAGTTACGTTAGGTAAGAATTTAGTTGGGTTTTTTTGTTTTTTGTTTTAGTTTTAAGCACATAAAGGGCACTTTAGATAATCTTAAAATTGAACACTTTAGATTTCTTGCCTTTACTAGTAGTGGGTTCTTGTTCTGATGGGACATTTTTGCTTTCTCCTGATTTTTCAAAGTCATGTTGTAGTACCTAGAAGGAAAAAGTGATGTCTTAATAGCAGGGCCTGAAATATATGGCCACTATATAGGAGATGGGTTACTACTGTAAGGTTTTTGTCCAACTTGAGACCTTCATACAAGGGTATTTAAAAATATCTTCTGAAAGCATTTCAAGAAGGAGGCATAGTTGCCACTGTTAAGATGGCTAAGTAAAAAGGCTTCCTTTTCTTCTTAACCTCAAAATAATAGAGAACTAGAGTGTTATGGATTCCACTATTTATTTATTTTTCAGATCAGACTGGATCATGAATGACACTAAAAGACATCCGTTTGTATGTAGATGTTCAGTGAATGGAAGAGGAAGTGAGCAGGAGGGAGAAAGATGAAGCAAAGTGCCTTCAGCAAGAAGAGAGAACAGTAACATTCACCTCATGCTTGGAAGTACCAGATTCTAGGAAGGAAGGAATACATTGTGGGTGAAAAGGGGGGTGCTGGTGGTTCTTTGAAACCGTTTAAAGAAGACGCAAACACTAGGTTCCCTCCCCAAACTCAAATAGAAAATGGGAGATTATAGTTTGGGTAAAGGGAATTAGTGAGCCTCAGACCCGGGGCTGCCAGGGTGGGGTGCAGAAAGCACAAATGAGGACAGGATAAAATGTCACACTGAAAACAGAAGGATTCAGCAGAAGTCTGTGCAGTGATGGGACACTGGGTGTCATTTCCACATCAAGCTCCAGAAGAGCAGCCGTCAAGGGGTGTATCTACCTCCTCCCCGGCAGGAGGACAACGGATGACCCTTCTGGGGAGAAACTAAAACACCCCAAAGAAAATACCAACAGGTACTAACATTTGGGATTTTCTATCAAAAAGCTAACCATCTACCCAAATGCCCTCCCGTGAAGCCCAGAACAACCCCAATCTGCCTTATGCTGAGTCGTTTTTTAATATAAACACTAAAGGTACCACAGGCATTTGAAGACAGCCTGCAGGTGAGTAAGAGAAGACAGTGCTTCCTTAAAGTAGCAGCATGCTATAAAAAAAGTAATCAGAAAATAAAAGTATTTAGAAATTAAAAATATGACATTCACATAAGTATTAAGGTCAAAAAACCTCCCAGAAAGTAAAACAGAGTAAAGGGACAATATAAAGAAGAGAGGAGATTAGAAATTGGAAAATTAAACCAGGGGCACCTGGGTGGCCCAGTCAGTTGAGCATCTGACTTCAGCTCAGGTCATGATCTTACAGTTCCTGAGTTTGAGCCCCGCATCGGGCTCTGTACTGACAGCTCGGAGCCTAGAGCCTGCTTCAGATTCTGTGTCTCCCTCTCTCTCTGCCCCTTCCCTGCTCACAATCTGTCACTCTGTCTCTCTCTCTCTTTCAAAAATAAATAAAACATTAAAAAAAAAAATTAAACCATAAGGGCCAATAATGTCTGACAATATTACTTCTAGGAGGAATGAAGAGAGAAAATGGTGGGGAAGAAATACAGAAAAAGAAAATTTACCAAAATGAAGGACATGATAATGATTGCTCACAGACCCCTGAGTACCCAGTTTAGTGACTAAAAAAAGACCCACAACAATGTGCATCACTGTAAAACTTCAACATAAGTCCAGGGGAAGCTCCAGTGTAGGAAGGAAAAGATACAAAGAATCACAACTAAAAAAGGCACTCGCCTTCTCAACAGCAGCAATGAAAACTGGAAGACGTTGGAAGACAGAGCAGTTGTCTCTCAAAGATCTGAGGGAAATGATTTTTAACATGGAGGAATTTAAGATTTTCTTTGACATATAAATACAGCCTCAAAATATTTATCTTTTATGCACTCTTTCTCTGAGAGATACGTGAAATGTGCTCCACCAAAATGAGGTGAAATGACAAGACTGAATTCTCAAAACAGATGGAATCAAGAATGACAAAGGGAATCCCCAGGCTGCTAGCTAGTGAGCATGTCTAATGAAGAGCCAACCCAAGATGGAGCAGGAAGAACAAAACTGACAGACTGGTTCATGTAGAAAATTGTACTGAGAAGTATATACAGCTATTGGTGGGCAGAGCAAAGACTCGGGTATGTGGTCAAAGGAAATTAGGTCAAAAAAAAAAAAAAACTGAGACAAGTATTAATTTCAGGTGAAAAAAATGTACACAACTAAGCAATAAACAGTATTTGCTTAGTTCAGCAGTAATATTTATACAGTTTGGTTACATCTACGGTTAAATGCAGATGTAAGCTAAAGACACAATTAAACAAGGAGGACGGTATTAATATAATTACGTGAGGAATCATTAAGTGATCTAAAAGGCTTCACCTGCTATAACAGGAAGTCAACAGAGAATGTCTAATACATAAATAAATAAATACAAACACATTATTCAGAAACAGAGTTAAAGAGCCAAAGAAATCATACAAAATACTGCCTGTGGAACAGGATGAGGTGGAGGCAAGAAATGGAATGATTTTATTTTGTCACATACGATTTCCATGTATGACTAGGAAATACATAAAGATAAATGAAAAATCCAGCTCTTCTGCAGTAATCTCAGTTTTTATGACCTTTTACAAAAAAAAAAAAAAAAAAAAAAAAAAAAGACTAAAGTGCTTTAAAAGTAAACATTGCTAAATACAAAATTAAACTAGTGTTTCATTTGGATTTCAATAAGGATAGTAAAGAGGTCTGTTTACTCATGAGAGTGAGAATAGGGAAGCTGTAAATTTTGACACCTTTAAAAAGGAGCTGCCTTCAGTACTTGAAGATGACTCGGGGAAGGTGTGTTAGTCCCAACCAGAATACCTGATTGTCGCGTTCAGTTTCTTCCGCAGTTTCAGTGTTGGCCTGAAGTGAAGTCTGAACATCTACAGGTCCCTCCTCAAATTCTTCTATCTCTTCATCTTCATTCTCATCTTCTCCACTTCCGTAATTCGTCAAAGCCTGAGTTTCAGCTTTGGATAAGTCTAAGTTGATTAACACACAGTTTCTAGTAAATTTCCATCACTAAATCGTAGTGTCAGCTACCACATATTGCATTCCTGCACCGCACAAGTCCTTTACAACTAGTATCTGAAACCTTCCAAACCGTAAGCACTAGAATACTGTGGCACAGAAAGGGGAAATGATTAGGCAGGGCCACACCAAAAAATCCAGAGTGGCTGACACCTACCTCTGTAATCATTACACTCCCCCCAACTGTGTGAATAAGTGACCTATAAAGAACTCGCATATACACCTAGTATGAGCCTTTCCACTTACTAATAGACACCGGACATTCTTCACTTTCTTCATCTTCCTCTTGTTCAGAAACGTCAGATCTCACGTTTTTGGGACCGTCACCATCATACATCTCAGATGTTTGAGTCTGCTTAACTGTTTCGGTCTCATCCTTGTCCTAGTCACAAATAAACATAATTAATTCCTTAAAATACATTTTAAAAACGTATACAGCAAGTCTGCCAAAAAAAATTAGTCATTATCTAATAAAAAATACAAAAAGTAATTGTTTTTAAAAGAAACTGAAGTTTTGTCAGAATCTCAAATGTTAAAAAGCTGTTAAAAGTTATTTAATTTTCTCTTTCAAAAGCACTGTCTTTAGGCACAAATTAATTAGCACATACTTTGTCTTCATCATCAATTTCTCCAGCAGGTGAGCCATGATCTCCTTCAAGAATCCTTTTGGCCTATAAGCAAGTTAAACAGAAATGAGGGGCAACCTTTCCGCATTATACTTGTATTTAGTAACTTTCACAAATCTGCAGTTTTTGATAAATAATCCAAAGCACTGAATGCTATCTTAGAAATGTAAATTCAACTCTTTCACTGAAATCTTTTAAATTAGCAAACAAAACCAACACTGCCCACCTGACAACTCCCTGGATATATAACAGCATCTCAAATTCACTAATTCTAAAACAAAAACCTTGACTCACTCCCCAAACTGAAGCCTCCCAGTCTTTCCAGTCTCCGTAAATGGGCCTTCAACAAGTCAGACAACAGAAACCAGCCTGTGCTGTACTTTTATTATCCATACCTACACCATTAAAACTCCTCACTGACTCAATCGTCAAAACAGATCTGTTGGTGCACACTCAGAGCTAAGTCACATCATTTCCTACCTGGACTACTATAGTGACCTTAAAACAGTCTCCCTGCTTCTCTCTCTTCTCTCTTACAATTCCTATACAATGTGGTATCTAGACAAACCTTTTGAATTGCACAAGAGATTATGTCACTCCTCTATGTGAAAAGTTCCCATGGGTTTCCATCATGCTTAGAATAAAATAAAAGAGAAGGTCCTTACCAGTTTGGCCTTACTTACCTAGGTGACTTCATCTACACTCTCACTTCATTTAATGGGTTCCTGCCACCCTAACCTTTTTCCTGTTCTCCAAACTGCTCAGTCCTGCCTCAGCCTCTAAACTCACAGTTCTCTCTACCTGCAATGCTCTTCTTCCCTTTCATCTTCATTATAAACTCCTTGTCTTTCATGCCTTAGTTCATACACCCACCCAAACAGCCTCAAGAGACTGCCTATCTTAAAGCAGCCCTTCCAACCATTTCTTATGGGTTTTTTTTCCTGTTTTATTTTCTTCAAGCTCTTAGCAATCAGTGGCTGAAATGATCTGAAACTTATCTATGTCTAGATTGAAAATATTATGAAAAGTGTGAAATAGATGACTTGACTTTATCTACTTTACATTGCAGGGAGAAGGGTTAACCTCTTTCTGTTTTGGGTCCTGACCTGCTTTCCCTCTGGTGCTTAGAGAGCCAAGAGGAGGTATGAGGTCTTGGTATGCCTCCAATTTACGGGAAAAAAAAACATCCAGTTTCATATGTGATCAAGGCAAATTTAATAGGGCATAAGCTACAGAGATGTGCAACCAAAGTCCTAACTTGTAAACAAGACGTGTGTTGGTTGGGGTGATCAATGTTCCTGGGACATCTACTGGGGTGGGCAACTGCTACAGCAGGCAGTTGGCTGGTTGAGGCCCGGATCCCAGTCCCCCTCTCTTCAGCAACTGACAATCATGTGAGTAATATATATGACAATTCCTGTCACCAATTTCTGTCTGTATTCCTGATCTTTTAGCCACTGCTATTCCACTGAGATTCAGTATGTGGCTACCATATGTACTGATTTGTGTAATCTGATTAACTGCTATTACTTCGAAAATATGTTTCCTGAGGTCAAGTGTGATTTCAGATAATAATGATCAAGAACTATATTTATATGCTAATTATAACTACTCCTAAAGCTAAATCAAAGTGAGTATCATTTACCTCTTTGGCATAAGACTGTATCACTCCAGCTGCTTCTATTTTCCTTTTGCATCTCTGTTTAACAGTTATACTATTATTATCCAAATCTTGCATGAGCTTAAAGAAAGCCAATTCATTAAACAACACTTCAGATATTTCTACAAGAAGATCTTCTCCACAGTCTTTGAGTTTTCTGCCAGCAAATTTTGCCAGTGAATCCTATTCAAAGATAAACCAAGTAACTTTAAGATTACAGTAAACTTCAATTGTGGGTAGAGCAACACAGAGGATTAACAAGTTTAAATTATAATACCCAGGGAAAAACAATTCTGTTACTTTTTAGTATGAAAAAAGTTAAAACTAAAGGCTAATATTACTAGGAAACAACAGTAATATTCTTTAGTGATATTAACCTAAGTAGGAATTGTGCTAGTTCTGCTTAAAGAGTATATAGAAGGAAAGGAAAAGGACATGAGGTCATCCACAGATTTAGTCCCTACTTAGAATTGGTGGCCACCAGAGTTAAACAGGGAACTCTAACACCAAATGTTACTACACGGTACCAGGGGTACATATTTACCATGGTGAGAAGCTGAGGTGCCCATTGAGGAAAACACAGTCTTCCCTTTTTAATGTTAATATCAGCGTATGTTCCAAGTTTCCTCCTTTTATATGAGCCAGCATTCTTTTTTTCAAAGTCTGCTTATTTTGGGAGGGCCTGGGTGGCTCAGTCGGTTAAGGATCTGACTTCGGCTTAGGTCATGATCTCGCGGTTCATGGGTTAGAGCCCTGCATCGGGCTCTGTGCTCACGGTACGGAGCCTGGAGCCTGCTTCGGATTCTGTCTGTCTCTCTCTCTACCCCTCCCTCACTCAAAGTCTGTCTCTCTCAAAAATAAACATTAAAAAAATTTTAAGTTTATTAATTTTTTATAGTCTTTTTTAAGTTTATTCATTTATTTGGGGAGGGGGAGGGGATAGATACAGCGGGAAGGGGCAGAGGGAGGGAGAAGAGAGAGAATTCCCTTAGAGATGATTGGATCAAATGAAGACACACGCCCTAACACAATTTTCTTTCCCTAATACAATCATCCCCACCCAATGGATGCTGCTGGAATAGACATTTATTTGAATAAACTGCATATTGCCAGAAAATGGCCAAAAAAAAAAAAAAAAAAAAAAAAAAAAAAAAAAAAGTCTCAACTAGAGGGTATAGATTGTAAGTCATGTAAGTATCAACTCTTACCTGTAATATACTTCCAAGCTGTTTATGAAAGAACTTTACAAACTCTTTGCTCTCATCATTTTGCTGGGTAAGGGTCAAAACCATGCGTCTCACTGAAGTTAGAAGTTGAGAAGAGCATACTTCATCCATGTGCTCCTGAGAAAAATCCAAGCTGGTTAGGATATAAACTTACCTACTGGTTAAGAAATACTAATTCACGTGAGCTTTTGTTTTGCATAGGTGCTTCTCAATTTTCAGGTACACATTTTGAAATATTCATAGAGCAGCCAGACTCCCACACTATACATGTTAAGGGGTTTATACATTTTAACCAACCACAGCAGGTAATAGCCAATAAAAGAAACTGGCTATTTTTCATCACTTCCTTTCTTACACCTTACCTCACAGCTCACCTGCTACCCACTTGCTCCACGTGTTTTCTAACTCAGCTTTCTCAGTGTCGGCACTGTGGTCACTCTGTGCCCTGGAGGATGTCTAGTGGCACTCTGACTTCTACCCACTAGAGGCTAGTACTTTACCTTTCTAAGTCCTGGGAACTAATGTATGTAGACACTACAAAATGTTTTTAGGGTCAAAATCACCTCAGTTGAGAACCAATGTCCTAACTTCTGTAACAAGCCCTTTGGGGCAAGTTTCTTCTCCTTCATCTTCCTTGAGAAGCATGTGCAAGCACCTAATAATCCAAATCATGGTTCACTTTTGGAGGTGAGTCCCTATCACATCCACACCAAGTAACCTCAAGGTTCTAATCCCTCTTCTGCCACTAAACTCATTTAGGCAGGTCTTCTAACCTTTACTCAGCCAAGTTTCTGTTCTGGCTTTGTTTTTTTGTTTTTTGTTTTTTCTATAGAAGTGTGTAAAGTGAGGTGGCTAAACTAGATGATTTCTAAGGTTTCTTAAACTGAAGGATTTAAAGCCACTTTTGAAAAATTCACTGTGAGAGGTGACTTAAAAAAAAAAAAAAAAGGATAACAGTCCCTTGTCTTCAAGGAATCAAATACCAGAAAAGTCAAGATACATGAATGATCAATCACTACATGCTATGCACTGTCCAGATCATACTTTTTAGCTGTAGGGGCTGTTTCTCTTTCATGACTGAGCACAATGGTCAGCTCACAGGAGACACTTATTACTGGCTGATAAACAGATATCATAAAAGCAGCACACTAGGTTCTAGAAGGATTTGTAGAAGCGCATTAGAAACAACAATTATCTCTGAAAAAGACATTTCAGCCAAGCAGAAAAGAGGGAAGGTGCTTCATATTTTTAATAGTGACAACTTGTACAAAGGGCTGATGCATGAAAAAGCAATGGCAGGAATAGTAAATTTTGAGCAATTTAGAGTGAGTGTACCAAATGGAGAATTGGGAGAGATGAAGTTGGGAAAGTATACCAGGTCCCTAAATGAAATCTCTCAAAGGCTGGGGAGGGGGGAGGGGGGAGTCTGCTTAGTAAACATTCATTTCTTGCCTATTATGACAGGCAGTCTAGGTAAAACACGAGCATCTGAATTAAGGTTATGCTACCGGAGAGAAGGAAGGAAAATCAGTTTTGGACTCGCTGGTGACAAGAGGGTTAAGAGAGTCAAGAAGTCTAGCTTAGGTGACTGGGTGTAATACTGACATTAACAAAGTTCTTATAATCTTACCAAAAAAGTCAAGATTTTTTGGCCTCAAAAACTTTTTGAAACACTAAATTAAGTGAATATTTATGAAAGGGTATCACTTAAATCACAAACAAAATGGTAAAAGCAATGAAATTTCCTGACTGCAGATGCCTGCATTCCCTAAGCATAAAACTAAATCATTCAGGCTTTTTAACCCTTAGACAATAACTGTACATATTAAATATTACTACCAATATACCTAATTTAACCAAGAAAGACATGTTTAAAAGTATGTTTTGTGTCATTCATGATAAAACAAAAACGTAAAATGAAAAAGGCAACACTCATCTGTTTCAGATGAAAGCAAATAATCACTTAGTTTAAGTCAGTTCACCTGAAGGAATGGTTTTAAACTGTTAAATAAATACCTACCCATCTATCTACAAGAATATATACACATTCTTATAATTTATAGGAATATCAATATTCTTTTTGGAGAGGTGAGTATATATAAATAATGGGAGACAAATTTATAGGATTGATGAAACTGATGTTTTTAGCTTTCTTAGGTCTACCTGTATTTTCTGAATTTACTATAATAAAGTCTTTAAGATGTAAAAAACAAAACACAAAGTACTTGTTTTAAGAAATTACTGCTTACCTTCAAAAAAGGAATGACTTCTTTCATAATGGCTTTAATTTGCCGGTCCAGCTGCTGAGTATCAATTCTAGGACACGGGACAGTAGAAACTTCGCTTACAGGTTGTTGTGAACTACAATTTTCAATGGGAGTTTCTATTTTTTAAAAAGAAAATGACTTATTAGCAAAATAAAGCCTATGATATTATACATATGCATTTATTCAGAATCCTAAATATTAAAGTCTCATGATTTTATGGGAAAATAACACAAAGGAGTATCTACGTAGTTTTAGCACCCTTAATGAAAAGAGAGTGGTAATAAAACTACTATTATACGTCAGGTGGGGCTATACATTTTTTTTTGTACATATGAACTATAGGTTTTTACTTCTAATCAACCAGGAACACACCTTCCAAGTTAGGAACGGTAGCCGCGGCGGCAGCACCGTCCTCATCCTCAACAATCCTGCAGGTGCATCTTGTGTTTGTGCTCCTCTCGGCCTCGGTCTTCATGCGCTCATATTCTCTCATTCTGGCTAATGCCTGATCTAAGTGAATCACAGTGTTACCTGCATATGGAATAAAAACATTTCCAGAAAATATAAAAGCAAACTTTGTCATGTATTCCTCACAAAGTATTAATAAAAAACAAATGGCTGAGCATAGGTAAGGAAACGTAGCTTCAACAAATTCTAGATACTGCACTAGCTGGGTAACAAGGCGTGTTAGTCTCTTAGACTCTGAAGTCCATCCTGATTTCACTACTTCATGTTGCTTCACGTAAACAGTACAAAGAAAATACATCCCAAATGTCACTCAAATCCTGATGAAAATGATCCAACTGAACACAAGCAAGTAAGGTCAGGAAAAGGCCTGAGAAAAAGATTTCCCAGTTTTCCTTTGTCTACTTCAGACAAAGCTAGTGGTGAAGGACTGTAAGAAAAAAATTAATAAATGAAACAAAACACTTGGTAACTCAGAAAGGGGGAATGACCTGAAGGGGAAAGCCCGGCCACACAGAGATTTTTCTCTATATTGGGACTTCAGTTCAGACTTGACAGGTATTTACTCAGAAGGGAGCTAGGCTTAGAGTCCTTGATAGTCAAAATAAGGCAAGGAAGACTTACTGCTTTGGTAAAAGGTGCATATCTAATAAGGCAAGGTCTGGCCCTTTGCTTTGTAGGAGACCTTTGGAATCACCTAAATCTTTTCTCTTCGTGTGAAAAAAACACTAGAATAATAGCACCTTATTTTATCAGCTAAATGCCCCGGAGGTCTGAAATGACTGAATCTCTGTTATCTCTTGAAAGGGAAACAATCAGGTACCTATACATTTTTCTTTTCTCTAGTCTCCTTTCCAAGTCTAAGACTCCAGATTTTCTTCTTACCTTTGAGTTCTACAACAACTCTCTATGCTTGCTTTACTAATGATGAAAAAAAAAAAATGCAATGTGTCATGCACATTGTGAGTTACCTGGGTTTCTCACTAAAGACTATTCATGCTAAGAAAGTTCTTATCTCAAATTATGAAGTTAACATTTTTATTGAAAATGTGACTGGATGAGGCCCTGATACCTCTCAATTTTTCCCATTTATTAACTAGGAAACCTTAAAGGATAACATTTCCCTGAAGGGAAGGAAATTAACATTTCCTGAACTCCTATTACACATGCTAGAAAGTTGTATGTATTTTTCACAAGACCATATAGCAAGGTAGGTTAAGACTCCCATTTCCTTAGGATATGCAGTCAGATGATCAGATGATTTGCCAAAGGCTAAGGAATTAACAGGAGACTCTTGACTTTAGACTGATGGACAGACTTTTAACCATGGTCTTTCTACCACATCTTGCCTTTTTGGAACTCTGGTTCTTAGTGTAATTCAAAGACTGTATTAAAGTCATGTTCTAAGATTATAAAAAATTCTGCTTACCTAGATCATCTGTTGCAAATGGCTCAAAATTTGAAGATACAGACATGACGCTAGCATTATCAGCATCATTTTGCTCACTTATTTTATGTGTTTCTCTCTCAAAGTTCTTCTCAAAAGTTTCCTAAGTTATAGTTTAAAAAAACAAAAATCACTAATATTTCTTTAAAATTTTTATGATATCCAAAATTTAACAAAGAAACTAAGTGTTGGCATAAAACTATATACTTAAAATTGTGATATAACTAAAGTTATTAAAGGTTGAACACAGAGAACATTAAAATATTAAGTAACCTTGCAGGACCTATGTCCTTGAGTAGATAAAAATTCACAGAGCCAGCTACTAATTTTAACTTGGAAAATTTAAACACTTCAAATGATTTCTACACCCTCAGGGAAATTCTCCCATCTCTAAACCCTAACAATACCTAGGACTTGACTTTATATGGTTTTACCAGAAGAAAAACATGACAGCATCATTCACTTTAAATGCACTTTATTGAAATATAATTTACATACAACAATGTACTCGTTAAGTGTACAGTTGGATGAGTTCTAAAAATAACCTTATGCAACCACTTTCCCTAAAGATAAAGATCATTTCCACCAGCTCAAAAAGTTCCTTTGTCCCCTCTGCAGTCAGTCTCCACTACACTCCACTGGTATGATTTCTATCACCAAATTAGTTTCGCTTGTTCTAAAACTTGACATATAAATGGAACCATTCAATATACACTCTACAGTGTCTGGCTTTTCTTTTGCTCCATATGTTTCTGAAATTAATCCATGATGTCATATGTTTCAGAAGTTCATTATTTCTTAATGGCTGAACAGTATTCCAGCGTAAGGACATACCATCTTTTGTATATCCATTTATCTGCTGATGTTCGTTTGAGGCTATTGTGACTAACGATGCTATCACCATAAGAATACAAGTATTTTTGTGGACATACGTTTTCATTTCTCTTGGATGAATACCTAAGAAGAAAAACTGTTTGGTTGCATGCCATGTTTGTGTTTAGGTTTCTAAGAAACCGCCAAACTGCCTTCCAAGTGTTTGCACAATTTTACAATCCCATAAGCAGTGTGAAAGTTCCAACTGCTCTATATTCACACCAACACTTCTCATTGTCAACCTTTTTAATTTCAGCCTTTCTAGTGCATGTGAGGTAACACCTCATGTGGTTTTAACATAGACATTGGCCATTTACAGATCCTCCTTCACGCAGTGCCTGTTCAAATCTTGCCCATATTTTACCGAGCTGTTGGTTTTACAAGGGAATTGTAAAAGTTCTTTATAGAGTCTGGATTATTTATATAGTCATTGTCAGATATATGTACTTAAATTATTTTCTCCTAATGGTGTCTTTTGAAAGGCAGAATGATTTTATTTTTATGATGTTTATCAAATTTTTCCTTTACAGTTAATGCTTTGTGCACCCTAAGAAATCTTTGCTTATGTTCAATCATGAAGATTTTCTTTTAGAAGTCTTATAGTTTTGGCCTTCTCAGGATTTAATTTCAAAATAATTTTTGTGTATAGTGTGATTAAGGAGAGTCCCACATTCTAAAACCCACTTCACAATTTTCTCTCTCCTATTAATCTTTAAAATTTTTCTCTTAAGTTATGAAATGAAACCTCTGTCTCTGATTATAGGAAATTCAGGCATTACAGAATATGATTCAGGAAACGGAGTCATTTTGTTGCTCCTTCAATTAAGATTGGAAGGTAGAAGTGCTTTTGCCATTTTATGGCACCTGGAATAGAAGATACAAGGTGTTTCTTCCTCTTCCTAAACTTCAATTCTTCAACTCTCTTTTGACTTATAATTCCCAGATACCTACTTTCACTTCTCTCTTTCCTGGGCATGAAAACTCTTACATACTCTGAAATATGTCTATACAAGCTCCATAAATGAAGCTCAAAAGACCTTGGCTTAGAAACTTGGAGAATGAGAGTCTGTATCTGTCCAATATGGAAACCACTAGCCATGTGGCTATTTATATTAAAATTTAGTTCCTCAGTCCTGTTACCCACATTTCAAGTGCTCGATAGCCCCATGTGGCTAATAGCTACCATATTAGACAATGCACATATAAAACATTTCCATCATTGTACGAAGTTCCACTGGACAGCACTGCTCTAGATCTGTGGGTTGGAACACTGGATGTTGTGCTGCTACTGACTAAATAGCGTTAACAAAGTGTGGATGTTAATAACATTAATGACGAAATGAAGTTTTGAATGAAAAATTAAAGAACAATTCAGTTATTTAAAAGTAATACTAAGTACGGTTCTTTGTGCCAAATCAATATGGTTATGGGTTGAATCTCTGTGTCGACCCCCCAAATCCGTATGCTGAGGCCTTAACTCTCAATGTATTAGGAGGTGGACCTTTGGGAGGTAATCAAAGCTCAGATGAAGTAATGAGGGCGAAGCCCCCATGGCGGCATCAGTGCCCATACAAGAAAAGAGACATCGGAGCCACATGTGGACACGTGGAAAAGGTGGTCATCTGCAAGCCAGGAAGAGGGCCCTCACTGAGTACCAAATTTGCTGGCTCCATGATCTTGGAATTCCCAGGCTACAGAACTGTGAGAAATAAATGTCTATTGTTTAAGCCACCCAGTCTACAGTACTTTGTTGTACCAGCCTGAACTAAGACACTTACTCAGGAAGCACATATCTTTAAATTTTATTTAACTTTAAAATCTTGTCAGATTAAATTAACTTTATCATAAACTGTAGCTCAGTTTTCAACTTGCTACTGACGGTAAAGACCAATGTGCTCAAACATTTTAAAATAACGAAGTAATACCATGTATATGAAATCTGGATAAAAAGGGAGACAATGGGAGGTACAGGAGACAGAGACATCATTCATGCTCTCAGCAAGTTATTTCAGTAGCTAATAAACTTTAATGTAACTGCATATCTCCTACTTTTGTATACAGCTGGACCACTCTTCATTTTCCACAAAAAAAGAGTACACGATTTCCAAGTAGTTATAACAGCAATCCCAAGTAACAATTACTTACATTATATATTTGACACTGTTAAGTGAATTAAAACCATGTACAAGTTTGTATTCAGAGAGGTATAGGAGTTGGAGCCTAAGGTTTTAAGCAGAAAAGATGACTTGGGAAAGTACTGTTTCAAACATGAATGTAAGTTAAAGAGCAAAAATTCAGAAAATGTCCTCAATAGTTGTAAGGAAATTAGTACATGTGAAGAAAAAACAAGAAATCTTTTGAGAAAATACTATCTTTTCAAAAGAACTTACAATGTTAAAATATCAACAATTGGCAGAAACACAGCAATACTGCTTCTGACTCTCTATAGCAGATACTTGCTGTTCAGTTATGGCACTCTTATCCGTGAATTTCCAAATACTAGAACTGGCAGAAAAAAGAAATGTATTTGCTATCCCAGGACCACATATTACCTTTTATAACAGCATCAGGGTCCAAACCTTTTAGGTGATTTCCAAACCCCTAACACATCATCTCCTCACTATCCTAGTGGTTTGCCATTCACTCATTCAATCACTTCTATGCTAGGTAGGGCCTACTTGAAGAACACCATTTACTGAAAATACACCATTTTCCTCACCACTCTTTTCCTTTTCCCAGTTGCTTTTACTTTATTCAAAATTTTCTTCAATAACTTGAGTACGTTAGCTTTTTTCCCTGGATAATTTTTTTTTTTTTGTCCAGGCTTCTCTCTTCCGACCCAAAGACCTGATTTATCTGGTATTTATGTACTTAAGGGCTCTGTGATCTGACTGCAGTCTGGTTTACTGAATGTCTTGAATAAACACAAGACATTTTACTAAATATCTGTTATCAATCAATTCCTATGTTGGGCACCAGAGATATAAACACAGCTATTTTAAACCTTATAACGTATCATTTATAGACAATTTTGGGGATTTAACTGCTGGCATATTTTAATTGAGTTGTATACCTCACCTCAAAATGATGTGTTTTACTCAGCTTTTTAAGAAAGCTAAAGACGCAATTATCAGGTATCTGCACAATTTATAACAACTTATTTAACTTTTGTTTAGTGCATACTGAAATTATGTCTACATTAATCATGATCAGCTTACATCATCAGTGGTAGCAAGGCTTTCACTGGGGGTAAGTTCTGAGTTTGAGGCTATCCAAGTACCAGAATTCACTGACTTTACATTTTCCCCTTCTTTTTCATGGTTCTCAGAAATATGTCTGGATACTATGTCCTAAATAAGGAAATAAAATAGTTACTTACGTAAAACATTTAATTTTTTTTCACAAATTTAAAAGCAGAAGCAGATAGAATAACAAATGCAATTCTCCTCACCTGTTAATTATGAGGAAGAAATAACATTAAAGACAAAACACTAAAAAATTGCTGAGAAAGACTTTTAGAAAAGCTATTTAAGCTATGCAAGAAGCTTTAAATAAAATGGTAAGACAACACATGAAAAATGGATCATTACATATGGAAGAAGATGTACTTCAGTCTAAGAAAGCAACCAGATATAATCATGAAGAGCAGTACCAGACAGGATAGGAAAAAGAATGTTAGGTACCACATACCTGCAATGCATATAAAGCCCTCTGTCTCAAATAGTCTGTATTAAGCAGCTGAAGCTCATGGAAGAGTTCAATAAGAAAATGTGGACGAGATTCATTTTGAGAAATTAATGTAGCTACTTCAGAATAAATGGTATCCCGCAAAGCTTCAAACATGGAAAAATCACTCCCAGTTTCTGGAAGATATAAAAGATCAGGAAGTTAATAGTGATGAAATACATTCCTGACCATTTCTACTGGGTTGTATCAGTACTCTCAGGTTTAAATTACTTAAAACTCAGAACATATTCAATTCTATTTCAGGGCTTTTAAAGTAGAAAAAGAATCTTAAAAACTACCAAGATAAAGATAATCTCAAAATTATCAAGACATATATTAGAAAAATACTTAAATGTATGGATAGTATTACCTAGCATTATTCAGACTACTTATTTCTCAAAAAAAATGATCTGGATAATTTTACACATTTCATAGGAATAATCAATGGAAATCTTTCAGCACTCGAATGAAATAAACAGTTTTTTTTTTTTTTTTTTTTTTTTTTTTTTTTTTTTTTTTTTTTTTTTTTTTTTGCTAATACGAACTGCGTTACAGAAAAGGAAATTTATTTAGTTATGGTTTAGAATAAACTAAATGCTGCCAATAAAAACTACTATTTTAAGGTCTATCTAGTTAGGTCTATCAGTTCTCAAATCTCACCTACCATTCTATACTGATGGAAAATTGAATTTGTAACTGCAACACAATATAGGTCAATTTTGCTAATGTCTTACTGACACACTCAGCCTAAGTTGGACCAGGTATGACCCATTTCAAGTTTTCAGTTACACAGAATCTAGGCATCACTCTATTATTTAGCAACAATTCTGCTATATGTATTTGTGGGTAACACAGAATTATTGCCCTTAAAGGAATACAGTCATACTTTTATTTTTAAGAGTGCAAATTAACAACTGTTCCTCTGGTGCCTGGATGGCTCAAGCTAGTTAAGCTTTTGGTTTCTGCTCAGGTCATGATCTCGCAGTTCAGGAGTTTGAGCCCCATGTCAGGCTCCACACTGTCGGCATGGATTCACCTCTCCCTCTCTCACTGCCCCTCCCCTGCCCACTTTCTCTCTCAAAATAAATAAACTTAAAAAAAAAATTTTTTTTAAACTGTTCCCATTTTCAGTTCTCTATTTAAAAAAAGCCTCAGGGCGCCTTGGTGGCTCAGTGGGTTGAGTGTCCGACTTTGGCTCAGGTCATGATCTCACAGCTCATGGGTTTGAGCCCCGCATCAGGCTCTGTGCCGACAGCTCAGAGCCTGGAGCCTGCTTTGGATTCTGTGTCCCCCTCACTCTCTGCCCCAACCCACTTGCATTCTGTCTCTGTCTCTCTCAAAAAATAAATAAACATTAAAAAGAATTTTTTTTTTAAAGTCTCTAGCTCTTCTAGCTATCAAACTCAGTACCCTTTCTAGAGCAATAGTAGAAACATGGGTAGTAGTTAAATATTCAAGTTCCACAAATATCAGTGACAAGATTCTAAAACAGAGAATTTAAAATATTGAGTGTTTTGATATACTGTGGTTTTAAATAAATACGCAAAGATCATAAAGATTTAATTCACTTTTTGCAAGAGAGGATAAGAATATGCAAAGCAAATGAGGCCTAATGAGAAAACCTCCTATTAACTCATGTCTTAAACCTTAACATCTTCTGGTCTCAATTTCTACAAGTATAAAATAATAATAATGAATACACAACTTCCCTATCCCTCAGACATTTTTAAGTATAAAATTAAAATAAAATAAAATAATAAAATACCAATGTTCTTTTACTAGTTTTAAAATGTCCACATGTGATATTTATTTTAAGTCTCTGTAAGAAATCTCTAAAGGAAAAATCCAGATAAGAAAATAGATTTTAATACACAAACTTCCAATTTATGTACTACAGTTGGCCAGTTAATTTAGAAAATGTTTATCATTTCAAAGATATAAAAACAGGGGCGCCTGGGTGGTGCAGTCGGTTAAGCGTCCGACTTCAGCCAGGTCACGATCTCGCGGTCCGGGAGTTCGAGCCCTGCGTCGGGCTCTGGGCTGATGGCTCGGAGCCTGGAGCCTGTTTCCGATTCTGTGTCTCCCTCTCTCTCTGCCCCTCCCCCGTTCATGCTCTGTCTCTCTCTGTCCCAAAAATAAATAAAAAACGTTGAAAAAAAAAAATTCAAAGATATAAAAACAAAGCATATTCAATGACATCTGTCATACCTCTGTAGGTGATAAAATTTTCATTCTAAATTATATATCACTAAAGATTAAATTATTCACAAATAATGAATTATGCTGAACACATGCTCCACCCCCCTCTCCCGACTCTGGCCCTGCAACAGAGGTAGAAAGTTTTTGCCAGTTTCTCCTCCTGAACTAAAATGCATTTGTTTAAGCTAGAAAATCCTTGATCTCAATCAAGTTTCTCTGATTCCATGTTATTTTCATAGTTCTTTAGGAAGTATCACAGATATAAGTCAAGCTTAGTCTGTGCTAGATCCTTGTTTTTTCTTTAGATTCTCCTACAGATTCACAACAGACTTTTATTTTTCACTTATGTATAGTGTAGGGAACCATTAAAGAATATTTATAATTCTAAATCACACAGAACCATATTTAAAGAAAATATATACGATAAAGATCAAAACAGCACTTTGGAATGTTTGTAATTTTCCATGCCTTTTTATTTATCAAGGTCTTTGCATGTCATTGTTTTTGTTTAATGGTGTATTGGCTCATTTTTAAATACAGATGTTGACTAGTGACGAAAAATAAGCAGGTACAGCAGAAGTCACATGTAATACTTAAACACTGTAAATCAAAGCTAGGAAAAAATAACGGTATTCTTGTTTCAAAAAATATTAATGCTTTTAAGCACTTAAGAAATACAAAATAAATAACTTCAAATAAAACACTAAATTGTAAAAAGATTTTCTATTACCCTTATGAATGTGTTGGCTATGTTCTATACAGTAAATGAAAATGAAAACCAGAAAGGCAGCTCATTTTATCACCCAAGAATTATAAATGAAAGCCTTCAGAATTTTATGAAGTCTCTTTCACTTTTACAAGGCAAATGACATATATACACTAAGCTAAATCTAAAAATAATCAGAGCAATAAAACTAAGGATATTTAGGACTAATGGAAAAAAATTAACACAAACTGGACACCAAAACTAAGCAGATTGTTACCTGGCGCTTCATTGCATGCATTTCTGTTAGACTGCTGTAGCACTCTCCTAGCATGTGCTGTAGGAAAGGGCAGACATAAGGATGAACATAAAATGTGTATGAATAGTAAAGACAGGGTCTATAATATGAGTAAGTGAATAAAAAAAAAAAAAAAAAAAAAAGCAAATTTCTTTAAAATTGTTTGCCTGAACTGAAATGTTATCACAAGATAAGGTTTTTACTTTGTTTTAAAATAATCTTATTAGGGAAAATACAAGAAGATTTGCTATAAACTTATATATAAACAATGTGACTGATGACGACTATCATAATACACTTCTGCCATTCACTCTCAGAAGCATACACATCAAGATGAAACTCCCCCAACTCCTTAGGGAGAGGACGGGACAATTAAATACTAGCAGTCCTATGTGCTACACTCTAGTAATCATGTTATCAAAAAGCACTAGCACATGCTATAAAGAATTTCAGGGTAGTGACTAAAACAAAGTGTTTTCAGAGCATGAATATGCAAATACACACAGTGTATATTTACACAATTCAAGCATTTTTTAGTGCAACAAAATTCAATCCTTATATTTTTCTAACAGTAATAAGGTCTGAAGAACTATGACCAAATATCCATTATTTAGGTAACTTAATAGTCCAATTAAGTCTTTCAATTTAATGCCCTTCCCCAACCTCCACTCGTTTACTCTTTGAAGATACCATTATTTGATAAAGACAGTGAAAGGGGATAAAAGTTACAAAATTTTGGTAAAATGCTGGGGTCGTGTCAGTAGAATTGATAGTTTTGCCAAAAGGATCCTAGACTTAGCAGAAGACCAGGACTGAAACTTCCACTATGCAATCTCCTAGCAACAGGACCTTGAGGAAGTCAATCAGTTCAAAACACAAACAAATGTGGTGTTACTTTTCTGATTACAAAAGCAATAAATATTCATTATGAAAAGTTTAGAAAATACAGAAAAGTTTCAAAATGATAAAATCTCTATTAACATTTTGATGGATTTTCTTCCAGTCTTTTTTCATTGATATTTTTGTTAACATAGTTGGAATCATACCGTTCAGACAACACTAACTACCAGTATTGTTTTCACTTTTTTTTCCCCTTAGCATAGAGAAGTACAATTACGGAGTTAAGGGCGTGACTTTTGAAGCTTTCCAGAAAAACTGTACCAGTTTATGTTACCAGCTCTTTATGACACTGGGAAAAAAATAGGTCTCTCTGACCATGTTTCATCAACTGCAAATGGAAATAAAACCAATTCACAGCATTATGAGGCTCAAATGAGATGAGTAATTTAATTTGTAAATAGTAGAGCATAATACAAATGGTAGCTGCTACTCTAGTTTTTCACCAAGGGTCCTACTGACACCTGAGAAGAGTCTATATTTACTGCCTCCCTCTTCATTTTTCTTTGAGATGTACTTGTTCTTTATAAATTGGGAAAGTACCAGTACTTAATGTAAAACAGTGACAAACACATACAACTCCATTCATTCATTCATTCATTCATTCATTCCTCCATTCATTCAATCAACACTAAGTGCCTACCATGTGTCCAGTATCATGGAAACATTGAAGGTACAAATATGAAAGGTATTACCTGCTGCCAAGGGACTCAAAAAGGTGACAGACACTTAAACAGGTAATTACTATAAAATGTGATACAGGCAACAGAAGAGATTTACACAGGCTACAACAGAAACGAAAAAGGAGAAAGGGAAACATATCTGAGCTTAGATCTGGATACAATTTCAGAGAAATTATGCAGAATTAACATTTTATTTAAGACTCCAGTAAAGAAAAAGGCTTACAAAGAGCAAAAAGGACTCAGGCAGAAAAGACACTTCCTGAGGTGAGAAATGGCATGATAACTATGGGCAAACTTCAGGTCAGTGCCTTGGAAAGAAGAGACAAGGCAGAGGGTGGGCAGAGAAGAGTCTAGAGATGCAAGAAAGAGCCAAATCTCTGCTGGACAGATGTTACATTAAAGCATTTGGACTTTCCCATTAAGTATGGTAAAGCCAAAGATTTTAAGCAAGGAATGATATGATTTTATATCGAATTATTATTCAGAGAATATTTTCAGAATTTCAAATAGGTTCCAAATTAATGCCAACTATACTTTTTGTTTAGAATTTTATCAAAATGTCGAAAGCTAGTATCGCAATAAAAATATTTCCAGTTTACATCTCTTGATATCAAAAATATATCTACCCTACTTATACAACACCTTCCACATGACAGAAAATTCCAACAGACCACTTTTCAACTCTAAGATGAAGAAGTCCTTAGATTAAAGCAAACCAAAAAAGAACATACCTGAAGATATTTCTGTAGACCTACTATATTTTATTATTTTTTCCAGCTGCTCATGATTCTTTCTGCTGAATACTTTTGCTTGAACAGGCTCTTCAGTCTGGGCTGAATGTCTGTTCCTACTTTTGCAAGGTTCACATGTGCTAGACATACTGGCACTTTCATACCCTTGAGTAAAAAAAGTGACAACTGTTATCAGTTGCAACTAACTCAAACTGAAAGGGAAATTGATTTCCATAGTGAAATAGTACACGTAACCCAATTTAGAATATATGAAGGCCTGGTATAAATAGACATACAAAATAGTAAAACAATGTCTTGCAATAACCTTTGGAAGCATGGGTAACAATAATATATTCTAACACTTCATTGTCCTTTGATATTTAATGAGTACATCCCAACTCAAACTATATGGCAGGCCTTATATGACCCAAATTCCCTACTAGACTACAAGTTAACAATTTTTCAGTGTTAGGAAATACAAGAAAGAATCCTATCCAGTCTACATAAAATGTCCATAACAGAGAGAAGAGTAATGGGCACTTGTCAAATATGTGTGCCTTCTTATTATAACTCGTGTGTAACAGGACTTGATTTAAAAGGTCTTACCCACCATAGGTTATCTATATATCCTACTAAATTTTCCTTGCTATATGGCACAAGATAGGACTTCAACTTTATTTTGTTCCATATGGATACTTGGCTATATCTACCCTCTTCCCAATGAAGTAAAATGCAACCTTGGTCAATATATTAAATGTCCCTATTTATTAAGTTCTACTTCTGAGCATTATTTAAATGGCATACGTATTCCAATGCCATTTTCATTCTTTTAGCCACCAAAGTTTTACAGAATGCTTAAATATCTGGTAAGGCAAGTCCTACCTAGCTTCTCTTCTTTTCTTGGCTATTGTTAGACATTTGTCCTTCCATACAAGTGCTGACATTTTTTTTTCTAATTTCAAAAACAGTCCACAGTCCATGAGGATTCAAAATGGAATCACATTAAAAGCATTTCTTAACTTGAGAACTGATATTTAATAATTTTACACATTCTCTTCTAAAAAGTTATGTTTGTTCCATCTTATTTCATGTTCTTCAAAAATATTTACATTTTTATAGATGTAGTACTTTCCTTGTTAAACTTATCCCTAAGGATTTACCCCCCTATAACTTTGGATACTACCACGGGAAGAGTATTTCCCCCCAACTTCCATTCTTCTGTTACTACAACAGCTAAAAATACTTGCACACTTATTTTGTAACCAGCTACTCTACTAATTTATGTTGTTAACTTTAGTAGCTATTTTCCAGTGTCTCTTGGGCTCTCTCAGAAAAATATAAAAGGTTTCCATTTATTTATTTAATTATTTAACTTTTTTGTGATAATGCTTTCCAAACAATGCTAGACAATTATGATGGTGGAGAGGGAACCCCTGTTTAATTTCTAATTTTGATACAGATTATCTTTGGAGTATTTTCATTTACAATGTTGTGATTGGCATTAGCTAACAGCCTTCATTATATCAAATATTAAATATCTGTCTTCTTAGGTGCATTTTACTTAAAAATTTTTACCAGGAATGACTTTAAAGTTTATCTAATCTACCACTATGATTATATGATTTCTGTCTTTCAATTTGTTGATATCAAAATTATGTTGACAGATTTCCTGATAATGAATCATGATTACATTTCTGTAATAAACCCTACTGACAACAGTCTAATATTTGTTTTGATTCATGGCAGATTAAATTTGCAATATTTCACTTTTCAATTTACATTAGTAACTGAGATTGATCTGTTGTTTTCTTTACTGAACTGTTACCTCTCCTTTTCACCTTCCCCTATATTAAAGGTGTCTAATCTGATTCATATGTTGTTCCTGTTGTTTTCGGCAGATAGGACACACCAGTATCTTCTTTTCATCGTGACCAGTTTGAATACAGGACTCCCGAGCTGCAGTACTCTTCTGTCTGTGTATGGGCATTATTTCACTTTTTTCTACTTCTTGTGTTGTCTGATGTCAGTTTGGTCCTTTTTTATCATACAGAACTTGTTCTTCCAGTCTGGAAGCTTAGAAGATGTTTACTTTTTCCTTGGGATTAAGGAATTTTATCAGAATATACATAGGGGTATGTGGATACCTTCCTCCCTTGCCTCCCAGCTGGACAACAGTTAGCTGCATTTCTACTAAATTCAAGAGTAGAATTCAGTGATGCATCACTTACATATTAACACCCAATGCTCATCCCAAGTGCAGTCCTTAATGACCCTTGCCCATTTAGCCCATCCCCCCACCCAACACCCCTCCAGCAACCCAGAGTTTGTTCTATTTAAGAGTCTTATGGTTTGTCCCCTCAATTTTCTAGGCCAATAATTTGGGACTTAATAGCAGTTACCCTCTTTTTTGAATAATCTAAACATTATATGTGAAAACCATTTTTTCTAGTTCTATAGAATTTGTTATTAGTTTAATACACTTAAGTGTTTTTAGGATTTTGTTCAAGTGTGTATTTCCTTCAATAACAGTTTTTACTGGATTTTACCTGTTCTATCTAGTGTTCAGCTTCTGTGGCTTCTCTCTAGCTGCTGGTCCCTTTTGCATGCACTGTTACGTTCACTGGACGTCAGGACTCCTATCTACCCTGAAGGCTGGACCCAACTGTAGGTAGCTTCACTGGCATGCAGACAGCAGTTGGAAGCCTCACTCCTACAGTGAGTGAAGCAACATTCTCACCAGCAAGTTGTCAGTCTCCCACCAAGACAGTAAGAGGAAGCTTTTCTACTCAGTCTCCACAGCTGCAAAGGCAATGCTCTCACACAGGCAAGGTAGGGACAATGGCACCTACTTGTTCAGGGACACTCTTTACCATTAGTACCCTGAAGTGGCAAAAGACTGCTATTCTTCGAAAGAAGGAGGGTGTAAGAATAGTAGGAGGTGCACAGAAGCCCATCCTCCAACCAAGTCTTCCCCGGGACTACAGAGCTCTGATCTTTGCCCCCAGCATTCTCAGAATGAGACAAGAGAGCCGAAAGCCTTGCTACTTACATGCTCCAGATCACAGTAGCTGCCCTGCTAATAACAAGTTAAGTCCCCCAAATACTGTCGATTTATTCTCTGTAACATCCATTCTGGAATTAACCTTCCCTTTTTATTTTTAAGGCCATCATTCAAGTTAGGACTTTATCATTTCATATTTGGGTTCCTAGTTTCTTCGTCGGTCTCTCAGACTAAAGTCTAGCCACTCTCATTCATTCTGCATGAAACTTATTGGAAAAAGAGCCCTCTTGGTTATTTTTGACCTTCACATAAACAGGTCCAGCAATAAGGGTATACGACTGACAAAAGGAAAAGGTAAAATGGAGAATTAAGGAAGACTACTGAGACTCCAGAGTTCCACTGGCTAGGCCAGCTAGTAGAACACCACCACCACCACATGTTCATTAGCATAAGGGATCTCCCAACCCACCTCATCACTCTTTCCCTTGCCCACAATCTGTGTTACTCAGAATGAGTGGCGACATAGCTAGAAAAAAACCATACTTTTAGCTGTGTCTCCACTTTAGCGACACAGCTCAGCCATGGCACCCTGGAGACCTTGCACATATCCACAAAGGCGACACAGGTAAGGACTGAACTGCAGCTGAGTCTAAGTCTTGACAGAAGGCCTTATGATCCTCCTGGAGCACAGAATATGAGAACATGGGAGGCTTGTGAGGAACTACTATGTGGCCATTTTTTATTTGCCTCCCCCCACCCCCTCGTAAAGCTGTCATGAAAGTATTTTTTATCTCCTCCTGGGTTCTGATGAAATAGGAGACCTTTCTTTCTCAGGCTCTGGGGACACACCGCCAGACTATAAAGTGGACTGTAGCTGCAGCACGGCACCAGCTCCCCAGTAACGGGTCCTACAACTCATGTTGCAACTGTCATCTGGCTTCTTCTGTTTCAGTGTCCCCTTGTGGCATGTAGAACAAAGAACACAGGGAGCTACGACTCCCAGATGCTCTCATTTCTATGCCTATGTAAGTAATGAACTCTGTGACTCTAAAAAGGGTTGTTTCTTTGCTGGCCACATCTGTCAGGCCTTGCCCTTCCCAATGCTTGACATGCATTTCAACTCAGTCTTCATCAGTAAACAACAGGAGAGGGAAGAGAAGAAAAATGAAAAGACTCAGGGACAGTTATAGTACATTAACAGTTCAATCTGATTTTCCAAGAACGGGGAAGACCTAGACTATAGGATCCCACTGCTTTCTAACAATATCAAAAGAGGGAATGGACCTGCTAGAGCGTAGCCAAATTACAGGTCTGATGCATCCGGCCAGCCAAGAAACATCTGGCACAGCAAGAAATGATGCTCAACTCAAAGTCTGAATTAGGATGGAAGTGTAAAGAATTGTCACTATCACTCAATTTGTACCACCTTACTTCACACGCAGTAATATGTACCTTTACATATAAAGACCTGCTAAAGATGAAAATACATCACCATCATTGCAAACAAAGCTAAGTGAAGATTTAGCATGCTACTGCTGAAAACTGTCCATAAGTGCAAAACACACAAGCAGTTCAGTCTAGTAAATCAGGGACAGTATAACCAGCTGTGCTCTCTCTCAAGACAGCAGCTTAAGTCCCACCACGCTGATTTATTTGTCACACCCTATTTCCTTCCCCAGTTCCTCTCATCTTTCCCTGCCTCATCCTGCCTCTAAACTTTTTTTTTTCATTGTTACTAGTTTGGAATGCCTTCCAATATTTCTCTTCATCTACCTACATTTAAGACAAGTAAATATTCTTTTTTCTAAGAAATCATGGCCATTCCTACCCCATAAAAGAGCACTGGTCTAGCTCAGTGCTTCTCAGACTTTAATGGACATATATTCACATTAAAACATCTGGAATCTTGGGGTGCCTTAATCAGTCGGTTAAGCATCCGACTTCGGCTCAGGTCATGATCTCATGGTTCATGGGTTCAGGCCCCACACTGGGCTCTGTGATGACAGCTCAGAGCCTGGAGTCTGCTTTGGATTCTGTGTCTCCCTCTCTCCATACCCCTCCCTGTTCACTCGCTCGCTCTCTCTCAAAAATAAACATTAAAAAAATTAGAAAAACAAAACAAAACATCTGGAATCTTGCTAACATGCACACTGAAAAACAATGTATACTCATTCGGGTGGTACAAGGTTGGACCCAAGAGCGCATTTTTATAAGCTCCAAGATGATGTTGATGCTGCCTGTCCCTGGTTCACACTTTGAATAGCAAGGGTTTAGCTGACTAATTTGATTTTGCTCCCTATTAGTTTGACTCTACATGTATTAGATTCTGCTATCAAGTCTTTTATTTTTGTGTGTGCTGCCTTAACGTAGGGCTCTCACTGACAGATGGTTTTGAATGCTTGTCAAACAAACGTGTATTTATGTTTCTGGCAAGTATTTTTATACTTAGAAGAGACCACATAGATCAGAATGTCAACCTTTGCCTTGAAGCAAAAAAGCTGAATTGCATATACAAAACCATCATTCCTTAGAATAAAGGGGTTTCAAAAATAGCAATATACCAGCTATTTCTAGGCTTAGGTAGACATGGCCATTAATTGGCTTAAGAGTCCCCTAAGAACCTGCTGCTCAAAGTGAAGTCCACAAACCAAGATCGACAACAAATGGGAACTTGTTAGAAATGCAGATCTTTGGGTCCCCACCCAGACAGAATCTATCTGCCTTTAAACAAGATTCCCAAGGGAGAAACAGTAAAGTTTAAGAAGCACTGCCCTAGCACACTCATATTAACCGGCTGAATGAGAAAATGCTAGAAAATAAATGTTCGTGTTTCTTCATTTGTTTGCATGACAAAAAGCATTTTTGTGGGAGCAAGGTAAGAGAGAATAAAACGTTGACTGGGTCACCCAAAGGACCACTCCCTAAAAACGGCCACAGTTCATTATCTATCTACTTAAACACCCTCCAGTGGCACCAAGAGTCATCCTGGAGAAAGCAGAGTAGTTGGATTTCATTCATTTGAATCAGTGACTAATTTGCTACATAAAATCAGCTCCTCCCAAACCTATATAACTGGGCAAATATTTTCAAGGATGGTAACATGTGTGCTGAGAAAAATATCATCCCTGTTCAAATTTGCTTGCTTCGCCATCAAATCAGACTCTTCAGATGGGAGTAGCGGTAGGAGGCAAGGACATGAAGGACAGATGATGAACTGAAATGAAATAAAGGAGCACCTATTCTTTCTTACATACATAGTTTTCATCAGAGTTCTCAAGTGTTTCATTAACCATAAGAGGCTAAGAAGAATGCTGTGAATATCTACAAGTGGATTTTTACTACAGGGTTTCCTAGGACCTCCGTATCTTTGCATGTATTGTGAGTTTCCAAGAGTTAGCTGTGCACAGTGATTTTTCAAACTTTTCTGATTATATGCCTTCAATACATTGTTCTTAAGCACCAAATACTATCTCCCGAACCCAGAAGAACATCTCAGAGCCACAGCCAAAAAGCATCCCCTGAAAACTTGGAAGGAGCATCCTTTAATATTCCAGATTCTAGAGCTAGACTTGAGTAAAATTTTTAAAAAATCATAGAATATCTATTTTTTTAAAGAGGCACACAGTTAACACTATAAAAAGAACTTTAATTAGATACTCAATGGCCAAGATTCAATAAACCTAGGTAAATGTTTTACCTTATTAACTAAGGGTAATTTCCTAAAGGACTAAGAGCAAACTTGTTTTAAAAGTGGTTTCATCTATGATATTCAAAGACTGCAATGTAGTTACAGGCCCAAAGTTCTTTAAATGAATCAATCAAGGATGTAACCAGAAAGTGCTGGATGTAGGACAAGATGTACTATTAAAAAAGAGAAACATTAAAACTTGGGCATTTCGGCAGCTTTTAGTAGGGCACGTCAGCAATTTTAATAACCTTCAAGATACGGACAATATCTTCAAAGCTCATAGTAACCATATACACAGGAAATATAAGAAGCTTTAGAAAGCACAAAAAAAGAATACCATGTCTTAAAATAGCTACAACATTCAACACTATTTGATAAATTTTATTTAAAAAATTTGTAAAAGTGACTAAAAATTACTTTATTCAAGTAGGTCTAGAATAGTTTATCCATTTAGCTATAATGAAATTAAGTATGTCAACATGCCAGAATAAAGTTAACATTTACACTGATTGATACTCAACAAATTTTAATACTTACCAATATTTTTAACTCTGCTTTTCAGCTGGGTAGAATGCCTTTTCTTATTCTTTGACTTGGGAGTTTTATCTTTAGATGCCAGGCTGGCCTGTGCAGATGCTTTTCTTGCCTTGAATGTTTTAGTTACTGTTGTTGGATCTACCGGATCAGGCATACTGCTAAAGCTTTCTAAAGACTCTTCATCAAACTGGCGTCTTCTCCGGCTGGTATCTAACTGATTTTTGCGATTACTATTTGTAGTTTTCTCTACAGGCACTGGAAATCCAGTCTTGATAAATGGTTTTTCTACTTCACCTTCCTGGTCATATAACCATGGTGTCCTACTGTTTTCCACCTCCTCTTCGGGCTGTTTTTGATTCCTTATCAATGAAAAGAAGTTTTTATAGGTACAACAGATTCCTATGTTTACTGGAAAACTGTAGATACAGTTTACTAGATTTAGGTAGATAAAAACATCAACAGGCTATAAAAACATTTTTACAGAAATAAACTAAATACGCAAGTATTATGAATGCTAATGTGCTAAATTACTTTGAACTTTAATATTACATCCTTCTCATTAAACCATTTTCATTGGCAAAAGTTCCAAACAAAAGATCTAGCATTCATGAAGCAAAAGAGTGGGAAAGAAAAATAAAAAGGGCGCCTGGGTGGCTGAATTGGTTAAGCATCGGACTTCAGCTGAGATCATGATCTCAAGGTTTGTGAGTTCAAGTCCCACATCATGCTTTGGGTGAGCACAAGTCCCAGAGTTCCCTTCAAGTGAGCCCCGCCCCTTTATTTCTCTCTCTCTCTCCCCTCCTCCCACCTCACCCCTCATGGGATTCTCTCTTTCTCTCTCTCTCTCTCTCCCCACCCCTCATGGGATTCTCTCTTCTCTCTCTGCCCCTCGCTCACTTGTACCCTCTCTCTCAAAATCAGTAAATTAAAAATAAAAATAAAAAAAGGATGGGACATACAAGGAAAAACCAAAACACATGCAGGAACAGCTGAGAAAGAGCTGTGTGTAACAGAGGGTTTGGGAACACACACAGATCTGTTGTCACCTAAAGCGGTTCAAAAAGAACTGGAATTTGGTGAAAACAATTGTCCATGCAACTGGTAATTTACTCCTCCACACATATAGTTTAGTTCTAATGGTGTGCTAAACACTGACATCCTTTAATATATTCATAGGTATTCACTGATCATCTAAGTTTTAAAAAAATATGTATGTCTACAGGATTTCTCAGAAATTTTAACATGCCAGTGTGCTTGATATTATAAATGTCTTAGAGGAAAACATAGTCAGCAAGATGTCCAAAACTTTTTATCATAGAACCTGACACGAACAGCGTTCCGAAGAATGTGATTTGGGAGACTGAACTATAGGATTCAACTTAAGACAAAAGTTAGCAAACCTATATTCTACAGGTGAAATTCAGCCTGCTGCCTGTTTTTGGATGGCCTGGGAGCTAAACTGATTCTTATATTCTTACATGGTTGAAAAAATATCAAGAGAAACAGTTTGTGACACAAATTATATGAAATTCATATTTCAGCACCCACAAAGTGTTACTGGAGCACAGTCACTTGTTCATATTGTTTCTGGCTGCTTTTGTGCAAAAATGGCAGAAATAAATGGCTATGACAGGCACTATATGGTCTGCAGTATTTATTATCAAGCCCTTTACAGTAGGAAAAGTTTTCTGACCCCAGCTCAGGACTACAATGTTTCATGTGACCTCTTGTTATCTCCAGCCATTTAATTCAGGGAACCTACCTAATAATAGTTGAGATTTTGGGGAGGTCTAATCTGAAGTAGGTCAAATATCTCAAGTAATACTAGATATCCAGACCCATCCTTTTTTACTATCAATTATGTACAAAATATGGATAGCAATGAAGTAAAGACCTTCCAATAGTAAAGCTATTCACTAAAGCTTTGAATAAGTGTTTATTGCTTATGATGGAAATTCATTCAACCATCATTTCTGAATGGCAACTATGCCCTAAACACTGTTAGGCTCTGACGAGGGAGTATTTTAAAGAGCAATAAGGCGTTTAATGGGAAAAAATGGTTAGCAGAGCTAAGAAAAAGTCAGGAAGGTCAACCATAGGATTCCCAGAGTCTAATAAACAGTTGAATTCTAAGAGTTTTTGTGTCATCACGTAAGAAAATCTATGATTTAATAATTAAAGTGTCAAAATGTTTATTTAAGAGCCCAAGACATGCCCAATCCATAACTAAAAAGTAATGTGAATTCTGTATTTGTAAAGGGCTAGGAAAGACAAAATCAAAGAGATACTTCTTACAGAAGAAACACTACAATGAACTGACGTCTAAGTTTTCATCCTTCTAAAAAGTTTTTTCTGAAATAAATAAGAGTAACAATAAAAAGGCTATTTTTACCAGCTGGCTATCAAAACCGTTTTCCAGATTCACACACACATGAAAAAAAGCTATAAAAATATTAAATGATTAACCGGACTCAAACCAAGTAGTCTTTTATACTATTTGAGTCAAAAGTTTTATTTGGGAAGACTATTCTATTAAAAAATATTAACAGTGAGAAAAAAGTATATGTATAACACTGAGAAACAGAAAAAGATATCCTGACTCTGACTGATACCATATTTCACTGATCTAATAGTACACTCCACATCACATTTAGATAGGCCTTAAGAATTTATTCTAATCAGGAGCTATGAATCAAGGAGCCATCACTTTACAACTATCGTCTAGAAGTTAATATTAGTTTCTAGCCCTAAAGTGAACTTAAAGACAGAGAGCAAACCTGGGCAAAAGACACTGTATGGGTCACATCTTCTCCTTCCAAAATGAACTGCACGAGACACTCTGATCAAAACTGTGATACCAGGGTTAGCAGTAGGTGTATGCCCGAGAGGTACCTGATCAGATTATCAGTTTCACATTCCCAACGCTATCAAGCCGAACAATAGAAGCAGCCTGCCTAATTATGTTTTCAAATTATGTATAATTAGATGTAATCACAAAAGTGACATTTAAGAATATAATGGATTATGTTCACAATTAAGTACCTTTGTTTTTCTGCTCCAATAGAAGAATTGCTTTCAAAAGGTTTTGGAAAAGCCATATATTCTGTTTTCCCTGAAGAATTCTGGGCTAATGGTTGCTGTTGTTCAGTGGGTGTCGAAATATTCTGAGAAAAATCTCCAAAATTAGAAGGAAATAAAGGGCTGAAATTCATACCTAATAAATAAAAGCAATGGATAAGACAACAACAAAGTGCCTGAAGACCTAAATATAAAATTAAAAGACAGTTTTAATTAAATGTGCCACTGAAATCCACCAAAACAAAAAACTATTAAATACATTAACATTCATTTGTTCAATCACTGTTTACATAGCTCAGTCCACTAGGTTTTCCACATTGGTGATACAAAAATGGATAATGATCCTCACCCTTCAGAGTTAAAAGTTAGATGTAACAGTACCTGACCTTTATTTATCAAATGACCGGATACTGGACTCTACTGTAGGCATTTACCCGTCACTTTGTTTAATGCTCAAAACAATGCCATGACACAGGTATCGTATTAATTTTACCAGGGAGAAAATCGGCTCAGAGATTAAACAGCTAGTAAATGCAAGAGCAGTTCAGATCTCAGGTCTGCACAACTCCAAAGCTTTTATTCTTTCCACTCTAATTTAACTGGGAAAACAGACCAAAACTAACCCTTTACCATACAGTGCCATATCAGATGTATTTGAGGTGGCTACTAACAACTCGGGGAGAGAAAGGGGTGAGAAAAGTCTTCACAAAATTACTTTGTGAAGAATGAATAGTCTTCGCCCAGAGCTGACACTGGTATGAAGTATATTTCTGCAAAGGAATTACATGTGCAATTATTTATATTATGTTACTTAAAAATCTACTCAAAAAAACGTTTGTTGCCAATATTTATACCCAAGAACTAAAGTGCTTGTTAAATTTGTTAATGCCACTGCTTTTATAATCTTGCTAAGAAAATGCACTGCTCTTTTTATTTATATTCACAGAGCCATCCAGCTCTCCAAACCCTTTTCTCCTCCTATATTCCCTGGCAAACACCTTCAACTCCATTTCCTTCATGACACACTACATCTAACTGATCACCTAATGTATTCTACCTCTAGAATTCTTCTGAATTGCTCCTAGTCCTGTACCCCTCCTGCCAATGCCTTGGACCAAGCCATCATTCTTTCTCTAATATTACTGCAGCAGCATTCAATTTTCTCTTCACCAGCAATATTCTTAGCTCCTCTCTCAAAACTCTGCAACACTATCACTAGTATAATATTCCTAAAATAGAAATCTCATGCTAACCCCCTGCTCAAAATCCTTCAATGGCCCTTCGGGTTGGCCATGGAAAGTCTAAGCTTCTTTGCACAGTACAGAAGGCCTTTGCTGCTCTCCAGCCACATCAATTACTCTTCCCCTGTGATGGCCCTCAACACTAGCCAAACTTAATCATTTCTAAATTCCCCACATGATCTACTGTTTCATTGCTTTGTAACTCTACGTGTCACACTGATTAGAAAGCCCTTTCCTTTCTCATCTCCCTGGAAATAAATTGTGTTCATTCTTTAAATAACATGCTTTCTGGAAGAAAAAAAAAAAAAAAAAAAAAAAAAAAAAAAAAAAAAAAAAAAAAAGAAACCTGCTGACAATTTTTTGCCCCAACAAAGAGCAGACCCCTCACCTCACTTGCATCACTGCTACAGCACCCACGGCATTGTGCTGAGCACCTGACACCCTGAGCTTCCTCACTAGACTCTAAATTTCTTTAAACATTAGTTCTACCCTTCTGAATCCCAGTCACTTATTTGGCATCTGAAACGTAACGGGTGCAGAAAAAAGGTCTGAATAAAAGCCTAAGCTAAATAAGTTAAATCTAAGCCTAAGCTAAGCTTCTGTCTGGTTGTGAATCTCCCTACTAAGACATGCAGCTCCTCTAGAAGAACGCTGCTTTAGTCATCTTTACTCCCCTCATGCTCTATGCAGTGCCTGGTGTGTTGCAGTCATGGGAGAGGATCATTCCCTTTCTCCTTGATAAATGGCTGCTGAATAATTCAAAGGTGTAAGACTAAGCAATCTTCATATGCAGTTTGCTTAATTTCATTAGCAACCATTTTAAGTTTTTCACCATAAAGAATCAACACAGACGAGTCTGTAACTTTCTTTGCAACATCAGAAGGGACAGATAAAAATCCATGCAAGACACAAACAGTATTCCCGAGCACTTTGCATTTATTTTCAAGTTTTCAGTCACTTACCCGGTGCAAACGATGAAAAATTAGTAAACCCAGGTAGGTTAAACAGATTTACAGGCTGTGAGGGAAAGCTGAAAGGACAAAATAAACTGGGAGAAGAGGTGTGAGATGCACCACTGCTTCTTTCCTGGCTTCCAGGTTTTTCTGGGTGCTGAGTTTGTTGGCGCATAAGTTCATTTAGCATTTGTTTCAACCTGTAAATATTTAAGAAGTCAGTTAACTTCTAAGTCAGTTATATTATCTTCTGTTTAAAGTAGGTTTAAAGAAAATACATGTAAAAAGTGATTCAAAACATGCAATAGAAATGGCCTGTTTTGAGAGTGACAGCAAACATCTGCTTGTCCTGCAGGCTTACTTCAGTAACTTGGCCTTTGGAACAAGAAGTGCACTTGTCACTTCGATCAGACAGTAAGCAGAACTCTAAGAAATTGACAGATTTTTGATGCTGGAAGCTCCACAGAGGTATAATTTACATAGCATATAACTCACCTAATAGAAGCATAAAGTTGAATCCTACAAATTTTTAAAACCAAAAGTCTATGGTATTAAAAGGGAACATTGGGCAAGTCACTGTTTATAAAATCCTCAGGAATTGAAAATGTAGGAGTATCCAATTTTGCTCCTGCCCTTTTCTCCCAGAAGATAACTAGAAAACCCCTGCTCAGTTTTAGCATTTTCCATACAGATCTACTGCTTCTAATCACAGATTACCTTTGCACGTTATTCTGTTGCCACGTCAGCTGAGTATAGCACTGGTTCAACTGGTGCATTATAAGGTGTACTTGAGGAGACGCAACATTGCTGGGCATGACACTGTAGGGACCCGTGAGAAGAGTTTGTAGCAGACAAGATAACGTCTGTGGAAAGAAAAAATGTCCTAACAGTTACTGATGACTTGAGAAAAAATGGGCAACGGTTTAGAAGCAAGGTATAAAAAATTTACTTTTGTAGTAAAACTTTACCTGCTGGTCTTGCATCAAAGTCTGACAAATATTGACACTGAAATCCAGTTGTTTCTTTAGCTGATTGATTTGTTCTTGCCATTGTTCTTTCTCCTCCACATAAGAGAGTTCCGACACCCAACGAAGGTTTTCTTGGCGCTGCATGCTGATATTCTGCTGTCTTGTCTTGGCTAAAGGACGATAATTTCCATCTGCTGAAAAAGGGCGACTGTTCTTCCACCTAACACAGATTTAAAGCATCAGGTCATCGTATGTAATTACTTGGTTTTTAAAATCTGGCAAAAAACTCCTGATACTGTGGTTCACAGAGCAGTATTTTCTTAAGACCAAAGTTTAAGTTCAAAGGACTCAAAAAGTATAGAAAATGAGGGGGAGGTTGAGGGAGGGAGAAAGGGAATGCCAGATTTCTAGCCTTGTGCAATTATCATTTGTAAGTTTTTTCCACTCTTTTTTTACTTAGGTTTTACACAGAAGTGTCAAACCTCAAAATCAACTAGGTGTTTACAGGGTTGGAACTTTCAGCCCCATCTTCAACTTTGAGAGACAGGAGGGGCTAAAGATTGAGTTTAATCAGCAATGGCCAATGATTTAATCAATTGTGCCTATGTGATGAAACTGCCACAAAAAACCCTTAACAGCTGCTTAGAAGAGCTGCTTTGAAGTGCGGGGAAGGTGGCGCACCCAGAGGACATGGAAGTTCTGACCCCATGCCCCACCCATTCCTTGCCCTCTTTCATTTGGCTTTTCCTGACTTGCACCGTTTATAACAGGCAAGTAAATGTGCTTTTCTGAGTTCATGAGTTGTTCCAGCAAATTAGGAAACCTAAATAGGGCTTGTGGGAACGCCCAAATTTTTAGCAAAGTCAGACAGAAGTGTGAGCACGTGGAGACTTGGGATTACAACTGGCATCTGAAATGAGGGAAATCTTGTGGGACTGAGCCCTTGACTTGTGGCATCTGCCCTAATTCTAAGTAGTTAGTGTCAGAAATGAATTGAATTGTAAGAACACCACGCTGGTTCAGAGAATCATAGAAGCACTTAGTGTCACAAAGATGTGAAACATCAGGAATTAAGCCAAAAGTTAAAACGGTGAAACTAACCTATTCTTAGTTTCTTTTACACTGTAAGAGTTTTGATTCACACTGTTAGGAGGATACATTGAAAAGTTATCATTGGAACTGGCATCTTGCTCTTCTTCTTCCTCCTCTTCATCTGTCCGAACAATTCCTTCAGAAAGGTAACCATCTTCATCTCCTTCTTCATCTAGTGCACACTGAGTAGAACCTCCCCAAGTTGCCATTGTTCTAGAGATTAAGAGACAAAAAGTAAGAGATCATTCTAGAGATTAGCTAAATACGTTACCATCTACTATGTGCCACACATTGTACCATATGTGTACACATACATATGTATACTTACACATAAGCATAGATGTACTGATCTATACAATTTCACTTAATCATAGTAATAAAATGAATGGTACTCTTTCCACTGCTGTTATACAGAATATGTTTACTCTGCCTTCCACAAAACAATCCTTCAAATAAATTAAAATAGTAATCATAACCCCCTGAACATTCTTCCTAAACGCCCTTCAATTTTTAACTTGTCCTTGAGTGACAGTTTTCTAGATCAGAGCTGTCGAAAAGAACTTTAGGCAAGAGTAGTAATGATCTATGTACATGGATCCAATACAGTAAACACTAGGTACACATGGCTAATGAGCATTTAAAATGTGGCCGGTGTGACTGAGAAATTGAGCTATTTTTTTTTTTAATTAAAAAAAAAAATTTTTAAACATTTATTCATTTTTGAAAGACAGAGAGAGCACAAACAGGGGAGGGCTAGAGAGAGAGGGAGACAGAGAATCCGAAGCAGCTCCAGGCTCCAAGCTGTCAGCACAGAGCCTAACGCAGGGCTCGAAATCACAGACCGCGAAATCATGACCTGAGCCGAAGTTGGCCGCTTAACCGACTAAGCCACCCAGGCGCCCCTAATTTTTTTTTAATTTTAATAGGTATAGGCAATGCAGCAGCTGCCATACTGGAAAGCACAACTCTATATGTACTTTTTAATTTAAGTTTACTTATTTAGTTAGAGATAGAGAGAGAGAGAGAGAGGGAAACGCACACAGGGGAGGGTCAGAGAGAGAGGGTGAGAGGCAGAATTCCAAGCAGGCTCTGCATTGTCAGCACAGAGCCCCACACGGAGCTCGAACTCATGAACCATGAGATTATGACCTGAGTGGAGATCAAGAATCAGATGCTTAACCAACTGAGCCACTCAAGCGCCCTAGAAAGCACAATTCTAGAGCCGTGGTTCCCAAACCTAGATGCTGATCAAAACTATCTAACTTTTCTGAAGTTTAGATGTGTGTTACTCACTCAGAACAGAAAAAAAAAACACTGTAGGTATAATATGATAAATAAAGTACAGTTTGGGACTTCAAAATAGGAAAAGTTCTTCTAAGAGGAAGAGAATAAGGTTTGATGCAATGTTCCAGAAATGCCATCTGAGGATATCAAAAGGTTAGGTCCCAACAAACTTGAATTTCAAAATGCTAGCTCTGAGGGGCACCTGGGTGGCTCAGTCAGTTAAGCATCTGACTCTTGGTTTCAGCTCCAGTCGTGATCTTGTGGTTCCTGAGTTTGAGCTCCGTGTGGGGCTCCACTCTGTGCAGAGCCTTCTTGGAATTCTCTCTCTCCCTGTCTCTCTACCCAGCCCCTGCTCACTCTCAAAAAATATATATGTATGTATAATAATAAAATAAATTTAAAAATAAATAAATTTAAAAATAAATAAATAGAAAATGTTGACTCTGAATACTCCTATATAGATAACTAACCAATCTTACAGATGGCCAATTTTTAAGAAATATTCTAAATATGGAGATTTCAAATGTAAACCCTAAAATCTAAATGTTTCATGTAATAAAACATTTCCTAACTAGTCATTGGGAAATTTACAGACAGGAGATTTTTAAGAAAAAACGTGCTCATTTCTGGCCTGATAGGTAAGTACTATAAAGTAACAAACATTTCGCTTTTTTAAGCTTAAAACATAACTAAGAAAATACGGCTTATATACTCAAGAAAATCTGTATCACCATTTGATCAAGTGCCTTAGTTATTAAAAAAAAAAAAAAAAAAAAAAGAGGTGATGCTATGAGAAGTTAGAACAGGAAACAGCTGGATTTAGTTAAATTGAACCACTAAGGTGATGCTCAAACACTAGCCTCCAGGAAACAGCAGATGTGTGCTGAGAGGGGAAATGAAGCTGCCCATCCTACATGCCTTAGGTAGGTAATGTTAAGAAAAAGACTGAAACATCACTTACTTTTCCGTTCTACTCTGCTGAGGCGTACACAGGTTCTCAGATCCATCACTTCTCAATGAAATAGCCACTGGAGATGTAGTTTCAGCTAGACCTTGCCTCCTCTGATGTTCAGCCATCAGAGCTTCAAGCTGCTTTCTTCTCTGTCTTAGCTCTTCCCTTAACATCTCATGTCTTCGCATCTCTGACCACAGCTGTTATTTTAAGTCAGTCAAGTTAGTATAATATACTTGGATTTGTTTTAGCCTTAAAGAATATAAGACAAAGAGTTCTGTTCTCCCTCTATCCTTTTTACACTAAGATATCCACAGTTAAAATAATATTTTTGTGATGAGAAAAAACGAGGCAATAAATTCTTAATAAAAACAAGTAGTAGCCAAATACACTGCGTCAACTATTTAGAGAAAGTTATGTTTTCTACAAATCACACACAAACAAAAAGGAAAAGAATAGGTCTTTCTAACAGAAATGATTAGTGTTCATTGTAACTACCCCTTAAACACAATTCTGCCAAATATTTGCTAATAAAGAACAAGACTATTTTGAAAAGATCCCAACTTAATGACTTTGGGAGGGAAAAAAAACACTAAAAGACAAAACAGGCTGCATTTAAAAACATGTTCCACAGATACTCAGTTTTCCTTCTTTAAGACATGATGTAAGACTCAGGAACAACAGTACAATATACAATACCTCATTATCTACTACTGAAGGATCTTCAGGCTCAAAACCAGATTTGCTTGTACTGGTTTCATTTCCATTAACAGCTGGGGTTGAAGTAACAGCTGGGATATATTTTTTTGTGGGACAATTACCCGCACTAGTGGCTGACAGCTAAAAAAGGATTAGTAAAAACTATTATGAGGAATTAAAGCAACTGTGTTAATTTCATAAAAGCAGTTATTTCACCATTTCACTGGGGCTCTAATACTGTATTTAACTTGTCATGACCAGACCTCAATTGACATCTTGATCCAAAGAAAACCTGACATAAGAAAACAAAGATGAAAACACAGGATAAAGCTGAAGACAAGCAGCCAACCCTCAGGAACAACAGAGACAAGAAGGATAAAATGTTACCATGGAAAATTTCAAATACTCAACCCAACTCTGATATGCATCCCTCTGGATATTATTTAGACTATGGAGAAGGGAAAAAGGATTAGATAAGGTAGAAGAGGTTAGGAGAAACATAATTTGATGTGTTTCCCTTTCACTGAAAACAAAACCTGACTGAAGAATAAAGGTAACCAAAACATTTTAAGAAAAATCTCGAAAAGAACTGGTGTTCCCTTCCTGTATCAACCTTATTCCCACTCCTGATTACGTGACATGGTCAAAGTTTGCTCATTCTCTGTTCTAGTTCAAAGATCCATACATACAGTACTATTTAACATGCAAACTACAGATAAAATATTTTAATTGATTTCCTTAGATAATTCATGATGGTTTAAGGGCCTTCTTATATAATTTTAGGCCAATACAAGATGGAAACGCTACTCCCTTAAAGGCAAAGCTCAAACCAGAATGTTTTAATAGAATAGTTATTAATACTTATGTTCTGAATCTAAAGCTGCCTAGTCCAAGTGAAAAGATCAAAGTAACAAAGTCAATTCCTATATGCTATCTTTCACAGTGTAAATGTAGATCCCTAACCTCTTTCATAAGTTCATCCATTTCATTAATCATAACACTGATACAAACGTTATCACGTCAGTACTAGAAAAAGAGTACTTTAAATGACATTAGGTTTTAAATATCTTTTTTTCAAACAAATGGGAAAAAAAAGTTCCTAATTACCTGTAGGTCAGGACATGCCTTTTGCAATGCTTGAATTTTCTCTTGAATCCCAATCAGCTTCCTTCTTTCTTCCTGCAAATGTTTGAGCTCTCTCTGTTGCTGCTGTAGTTTAGCCTCATAAAATTTCTCTCTATAATTAAATTAACATTATCATATTTGCAGACTCCAATAAATCTTATAACATTAAGCATGATCTAATACAGTACCCATTCGAGTGTATATAAAAAGCACTCAGTTTTTATTAAATGAAGACCATGAGCTTAACATACCTTGCCTTTTCATTTATTCCAGCATCTTTCTGTGTTTTATTGGTATTTCCTCTAGTGTTATTTGCATTCTGTTTGTTGCCTTCTTCTGCTGGGTAGAAATCATCCAAATTTGAAGTATTGGCAGAGATAACGCCTTGATCTGTTGCATCATCATCCTAAAAAAAAAAAAAAATCATTAAATTAAAATAATCTTGGTATCTAAAGACATTGTCCAATGCATACCTTAAGTACCACTATTCTGTAAAATTTATGTAACATAAAAAGGAGTAGATTAATAAGTACATGATTTTTTGAGAGCACTGAAGTTCATCCTCTACCAATGGCAGGAAAAGAAGTACTAAGACAACAACAAAAAGGTACATTTATAATCTGAATTGCCAATTACCCAATAATGACAAATACTAAGTTGCCTTTTCTTATTTTGACCAGATACAGAGCTATCAAAGAAAAGCTGTGTAAAGAATATGAAAAAGATCAAAAACACACTATCGGATCTGGGAACTCTTGATATTAGGTAATTTTTCGTAAAATGTAATTTTTACATTAACAATTTCAAATAATCAATGTCTACTGTCACTTGCTTAAAATTTCCTATTCTCTCACTTTAGTCTTCATTTTGCCAAACCAGTGCCAATAGCTCATAATACAAAAACTAATGAGAATATCTCACATCTGTCCTAACTACTGGAAAAACAACTAAAGTTTTTACCTTCCTAACAGTAGGTCCACATCTACTGTTTAAATTAATGTACTTATTAAGGTGCTGGGGGGGGGTGGTTTCTGGGGAGTGAACTACTACATTTTCTTAAAAAACATTTAATTCTACATAATTTTATATTTACTCATGCTTTCTCTGAAGACCTCAACTGAAACTTTAACCTTTGGAAACATCATTTTAATAAAACCTTAAAGAGTTAGTAGTGACTCTTAATTATAACACTGGTTAGCCAATTTTAAGTTTGTAAATGGGTATTATCTGGTCTTCTTATTTATCTAAAAACCTAATTCATTACTAGTATGGATAAGAAACTGCAAAGAAACTGAGTTGAGACACAAGAATAGAGAGGCTGCATGAGACCTTTCCACATAATAAATAGAAAAATTAAAGTTCAAGAAAAAATACAAAACTGCCGTAAGTTATAGAAGGCCATGAGAGGGTGCCTGAACAACTGAATGATATCAACTCCAACACTAAAAGAAAGTAACTGACTCAAGAATTATTTCAAGAATTATTGTTCTGACACACAGTTCTTTCAGTCAAGCAGTATTTACCTGTACCATAGCAACAAGATCTTGTAACTGTCTAAGTTTCTGTTTTGCAGCCATAAGTCTATTGATCTTCTGTTCAAATTCAGCATCTTCTGGAGCCTCATCAACCAGACTGCTCCTATGACTAGTTAATGAAGCCCCACTGACTCCCTCATCTTCTGCTTCTTCCTCCTCTTCCTCATCATCTTCACCTTGTGCAACATGAATCCCCTGTTCTCCTTCTCTATTATAGTGACAATCTGTTGGAAGCATGTATAATTAAAATCAGTAATTTAACTTAAGAACAGTACTAATGAAATAAAATACACTTAGAAAAAACAGTATGTCAAAGTTATCATCAGTAGTCAATCATACCTAAAGAAGGAGGCATGTTTAGAGCCCTTATGTTGGTAGCAGATCTGTTGTTAATTTCACAATTAGAATTGCCTGATCTCCCCTCTCTATTATTAGAAACACACTGTGCATTAGAATTACTATTTACTTCATTCCAAGTGGCAGCTACTTGTGGATTTCTAAAAGAAAGAAAACAGCCTGATGTTATAGAAATAAATAAATAAATAAATAAATAAATAAATAAATAAATAAATAAATAAATAAATAAATATTCCAAGTTTTAGAACTGCTGATAAAATAATTCCAAACTAAGATCATCACTGGCTATTATTCCATTTAAACTCATACTGTGAATAACTGGCTCTTGCATTTCATAAACTTCTATTAGGAAATTTAAAAAGAAAACATCCGGAAAATCAAAATTATACCTAAAAATAAAGAGGTAGGAAAATGTTAAGTAAGATACTTCTTATGGTTTACCTGCATTTGATCTAACAAACAGCAAATTTACTAAACTACTGTACTCCATGCTTCTCTATTTGTTTATCTTTACAGGGCAAGTAAGATTATACTGGCCAAAACAGTAGACTTAAGCAGACTTACAGGAGAAAAGCTTAAATAAAAAGCAAATAGCACTCTTTTGAGGGTTTTTTGTTGCATATTAGAAATATCCAAGTAGAAGGAACATGTTAGAAAAACAAAATTGTTACCGAAGGTTAGTAACAGGCTCAGAGTTTTCATGTTCAGAATCATACTCCGACTCTTCAGTTTCTTCATCTTTTGTGTTTTCATTTACAGCATCTGTCATCATATCTGATGTTTGTTCATAATAATGAACTAATTCTCTTAGTTCATTCAATCTCTTTCGAACTTCATTTAACTTCCTGATAAACAAAATATAAAATATATATACATACATATATATAAAATAAAATACCCATTTCAGCAAAACAAAGCATACAGTATTCTCATATACAAGCAGCCAATACAAACAAAATTTAGCCCTAGTCAAACATCCAGGGGGCGTGACTATAAAGTAATGAACTTAATTTCAAGGATACCTTTCTTACTCAATATCTCACCACTCTATTTTCTAATGTCATGTTAGGGACAAAAGCTTTAAAACAAAAACTTTCAATGGGGCATCTGGGTGGCTCAGTCGGTTAAGCATCCAACTTCGGCTCAGGTCATGATTTCACAGTTGGTGGGTTCGAGCCCCATGTCAGGCTCTGTGCTGACAGCTCAGAGCCTAGAGCCTGCTTCAGATTCTGTGTCTCCCTCTCTCTTTGCCCCTCCCCGACTCATGCTGTTTGTCTCTGTCTCAAAAATAAACAAACATTAAAAAAAAAAAATTTCAAGTGTTCACTTGAAGCAGATTTGGTTTCTTAATCAATAGTGAAGTAGTAAGTATTCAATTCAAATACTACTTCTCAGGCAAATCAGTGATGTAGGCATTACGAAGCATTTATAGAAGGCTCCTGATTTGAAACATATAGAGATCTATACAGTGTATAATAGGTTTACCCAAATTATTAAATTTGTAGAGTTTCCATTAAGTGCCAGAAACTAGGCCAATGTTTTTTAATGTGTAAAATACCTTTATGAATAGGTATATTATTATCCCTATTTTTCAGATGAAGAAACAGAGGCTTAATGAGTATAAGTTATTTGTCCATGGTCACACAGCCTTCCTTGTGAGGTACAATTTCAAGGCTTTCTGATTCTGGAGCCTGAACTCTGAATTTAGAATCATTTGAATATTAAAACATTTTAATGTAATACCAGCTATTTCTAATCCTTTAGGTGGAAAATGGGAATGCATTAGCTCACAAAAATTATCTGTATTACAATGTCACATTTCTCTTGGACAACTCAAAGAATGCAGTATCACACACACAGTTTCTACCACCTCTTAACAATTCTTATTTATCATAATAAATAAATTCAGTTTTTCTAGAATTTTCAACAATCCAAGAAAAAAACCCATAATTTATCTCCATTATTCAATTCTAATCTATGTAAACAATGTTTGTAAAAATGTTTTACTGGAGTTTTTCGGTTGGATTCAGATGTCCTTCATTTTCACTCTCATTCTGAGCAGCTAGAGAAGCAACAGGATAAGGAACAGATGACGTGAGGCTACTGGCTTCTCCACTGACTGGTGCTAAGCCGGTGGGGGCAGAGGGAGCCACAGCTGTGCTTCTCTGATCCACACTTCTCTGTGGAGAAGCTGAGGAAGGCACAACTAACAAACAAACAAAGGATCAGCTACCATAAATAAACAAATACGGCATCAAGTAACAGTTGGCTTACATATGAAAATAAAAAGTAAAAAATCATTAACATCTTAAATTCTGCAGATTTCAATTTTAGGAACTTCAGGACAGAGCAGCCAGGCCACTTGTTCATTAACATGTTCCTAACCAAACACCACAAACTTAAAACAGCAAGAAAACAGTAAGGAAAGACAAGGTGGAAATCGACAAGAATTAGGATATTCCACTTTAAAAAGTAACCAGTATACTCTCCTGATAAACCTGATTCTAGGTTAAAGTGACTGTAGTACCTTCATACCATGAAATACAGACCAGCAATAAAATTTTCTAATTAGATGATGGCTAACCTTCTATAGTCCTTGAACTATATGTTAATTACTTTTCTGTCCACCTGGACCAAAGATACCTTATGCCTTTAAGGGCAATGAATGAATATTAAGAATCTTTGCACTCTTCTATCTCCATCACTTCAAAACTATTGTCATTTATCTTTCTCACAGGGATGACCATCATTATTTGTTGCTCACATTATCAACTGCTACAGCTGGTTTCCAGCAGTCTCTTCGCTCTATTCCTTAACTGTTCTATCTTTTGCTGCTGCTTTCACAGTTTCCCAGTGTGAAAAAAAATCACTTTTTAAGAGTCATCAGTAGGCAGAGTGCTACTTTTTTTATGTATATAAAACTGACTACAAGGCCTTGAGTACAACTTTCAAAGTTTAAATTTTTCTTTGTTGTGTTCATCTGTATAGGAAGGATAAGCATTGGGATTAGATTATACTCTGGAAGAGGAGAGACCGGCAGAGGTTAGGGAAAAGAAAGGAGGATGTTTCAGGCAGAAATACTAAGTTTTGGCATGTGGCGGGGGGGGGGGGGGGGGGGGGGGGGGCAGCAGACAAATAGGAGATGGGTAAAAAATAAGGAACAGGGACTCCAGAGATGTTTCTTCTATCCCTGTCTTTAGTAAGAGAGCAGCAGGAATGCTGAATGATGACCAGCTGGTGTTGATCCTACTAATAATCAGTTTCTCTTGCTAGAGCTCCTATTACTGACTGTTTTTAGGTAAGAGAAAGGGACCAGGCTTGAGAAGGTGTCAAGACAGCAACTGAGGACTATTTGAGAGCGGCTGAGTAAGACATCTGTGGAGCAGAAAAGTGGTTCCCATAGTATAACTAGTTCAACTATGCTCTTCCTACTATATCCACCTAAGATGACTATTTATATATTTCAAAAAAGTTACCAAGTTTTTATAGGTTATATAGCCTGTAAGTTATACGTTTTCTGCACTAAACCCTACGTACTACATAAGTTTTTTGTGTCTCATTTTTTTGGTATACTTTCTAAATCTGTTTCGTAGTTTTTAAATCAAAGTACTAATTTGGATTAGTGTTCCTTCAAAGAAAAATGTGAATATGCTAAAAAATCCAGTATATGTCCAAGTATCTAATAGTTTACCTTCTCTTTTTGTTTCCCCCAAATCAAAATCCTACCAATTTTTCAAAGCCCAACTTTATTCTTTCCCTTTACAGAATTATAGAACACATCGACCATCTATCTGGTTATCATCACAGATTGCCTTGCATCTTAAAAACTTTCCCCATGCAAGTCCTATCTCCCCTCAAATACTGTCATTTTCTTGAGGAACTATGAGTACATTCGTTCACCAGGTATTTACTAAATAACTATCAGATGCCAGCACATACACTCATGGGTCTTCCACCTATCCTTGCTGAACCAGATTTACTTACATGATGAGTTGTTCAGATGCTGATCTCGAAGTGTATGAAGTTCTCCAAGCAGTTTGTCCATTTTTTGTTTCTTTTCCTGTAATACTCTCATTTTGCTAAAAAGCTGTACTTTCTCATCAGGTAAGTGTTCTGAAACAGATGGATTCCTGCTCTGGGAAACCTCCCTAGTTAATGAAAGACTTTCTGCCTGTCTTCTATTGTCTGGAACAGTTGGAGGCTTATTTAAAAATAAAAAAAAGAAGAAGACCAAAGCAATTAAAGGTTTCATTCTCATTTTAAAAAAGCATAAACATTCTTTCTAAAAAGTGATAAATATTTGCCGAGATTGTGCTGGTGGGTAAGTATATGCCTTTCCATACTATTTTCCCGATGTGCCACTGTAACATATATATGGTTTTATGGACACACATAACTAAATTAAGGCTAGAAATGTCATACGTTATACGAACTTTCAAAAATCTCATTTTCTCTCTTGCCATCTTTTTAGAATCACCATCATGAACTTTAATTTCTGAACCTATCAGTTTTTCCTACCACTTCTTTCCACTAAGGCTTGGGAAATCATAAAATGAATAAACCACCATTAAGCTTAAATTTTAACTTCTGCTACATTTGCATCAATTTTTTAAAGAGAAATATAAGATTACAGATATAGCTAAAGCTCTAGACATACCAACCCCCAATCTCATTACTCTCTCCAGATATAAACACAATCTCGAATTACGTTTCTACCATCCTCACATATGTTTACATTTTATTACACCTACAGAAAATATACATCCTTTATGCACTTTTACACCTCAGCCAAGTGGTACCCTTCTTAAACTCGCATTTTTCATTTATTAACTCTGGCTCATTTACTGTAACTGGTTATAGGATTTAACTCTATGCATATATTATAGTTTATTAATCCATTTTCATGTTTATGGACATTTAAATTGTTTCTAGTTTTTTGCTATTAACAAATTGTTGCCATGAACACTCTTCTATATATCTCCTTGTGAACACATGAAGAATCTAAGATGGGGCACTGCAGGGTCACCAGAAAAATTGACTGCTCAATCATTCTTGAAAGTAGCAGACCATATTCATTTATTGTCATCAGGTCAGCCGATAGAAGACACTTCGTCTTCATACTCAATTCCAGTGAAGAGGTATTAATTCACCCTTTCTTACTCAAGGCCCATAAACTGAAATGGTGTATTTATATCATTATTTACAAGTCATTAAATTATAACAATAACTCTGAAATTAAACTTAGGAACTTTCTTCAAAATTGTTAGTAAAGTATCATAAAGGCACAGATTCAGATATAACTTAAGTTTTAGAGGTTATGACCATTAGAATATTTGAGAGGAAAAAAGAACATATTATCTAGTAGCACAGAGGGAGAAAATTTCACTTATCACTACATTCAAGGCAGGTTTTCCTCTAATTTAGTGTTTCTCACAGTATAGCCCCCAGACTACCAGCAGTAGAATCACATGGTGGGAAAGCCCACCTCAAATGAATGAGTCATACACACTTTTGGAGGTGAGGGGAACCCAATGACTAGAAAACTACTTTTTTGTTTGTTTTTTTTTTTAATAATCATAACAGGTGAATTTACGCTCAGTGAAATTTGGGAACCACTAGTTTAATTAATGTAATTTTAAACTCAACTATACTAAAAAAATTAAGTTACCTGAGAATCACGAAGCTGATTATGAAAACGCTGAATCAAGTCATTCAATTCCTCGTTTAGTTCAGATGTGATACTAACTCCAGATAGGCTACCTGCTGTTTCTGTTACAACTGGAAAGAAAATTAACAACTATTCACTAAAGCAAATAAGTTAAATTTTAATTTAATTTAAAATTTCAATTTGAGAAGCTAAAAATAAATTCTGAGAGAAAAACAGGAATTAAAAAAAAAAAATCTAACCTAATTTACAACTAGTTAACTCTCAGATTTATCTCCCAACCAATCATTTTAATAAAAATTTCCATCTAACCTGAAAACAAAAGGACCCAGAAAACTCCAGTATAGTGGTTCATCTTTTTCCACTCCATCATTCAAAGAGAAACACTGCTACATCCCAATTAAGAATAGTGACTCAAAGGAGTAGGGAGAGGACAGGCCAATCAGATTGGGTTGGGGGACTGGCAGGGAAAGTGGTTAATCTGAAAAAGCACAGCTAATACAGTCAGGTCTCAATCCCTACCTCCCCAGACAGAATCAATGATCTAATACAGGGCTGGCAAACATTTCATAAAGATTCAGATGGTACATATGTTAGGCTTTGTGGAAATATAGTTTTTGTCTCAACTACGCAATTCTGCCACTGCAGGGAAAAAACAACCACAGACAATAAATACATAAATAGACACAGATATATTCCATGAAACTTTATTTTATAGAGTGGGTCAAATCCAGCTGGCCATAGCTTGCTGACCCGTGCGACAGAACAGGTAATTTACTGAAGCTGTTGCTTAGGACACAACTAACTGCAAGACCATGGTTCTTACCTTCCTATGGCAATATTCCTGAGGCAGTATTCAGATGATAATTTCGATAACAGTCACTGTTCTACTACCAACCACTCCATGCTCATCCTCTCTAGCTCTAAAAGAGACACTGGCTATAAACTGTTTCTGTTCTAAAGGAAAATACTAGCTTTCTCAATGAGAAATTAGAATTTCAGGGTTAAATAGAATCCCAAGTATCTAGTGCAAACTCTATTTTGAAAACAATGAAATTACAGTATAGGTAACTAACACACACTTAACTAACACATACCCGCTAGTTCAGTAAAGAACAATTCTTTCCCATAACAATTACTTTGACTTGCTTACATACCAGAAGATTAAATATTACCATTCCGGTTTTTCATATAAGAAGCAATGTTTAAAAATTACTAAAATTATTTTTGAAATAGTATGTAAAAAAAGTTTACTCTTAAACTCCTGTTCATTCTACTCCTGGTGCCTGCCTCATAGTACACTTTAAAGAAAAAGAAATAAGTTCATATATTCAGAAAAAGACCCCTGACTTACAATTCAAGAGATCTGATTTTACTAATATTCCATGTAAGTGTAAGCAAGTCACAAACTCTGTTAGAGCCGCTTCTCTACAACATGAGCCTAAGAAATAAATGCTCTGGTGACTAACACACAATTTCATGATAATTAAATGAGATGATGTGAATGTAACTATGTGAAATAACATAAGTATCACAGGCAAGTCTCTGAAATCTAAAACTTGAAAAATATTTAAACTATTTAGAACATTAGTCATTAGCCTTTACCTGGTATTAGTCATCGTTTAAATATTGTTTTATTCTAAATTATCTATTTCCTAAAATATGAATGTAAAAGCTAATGATACTCTGAACTTTACAAGAGAAAAATGGGTTCAAAATGCATATTAATTATGATATACTACACTACATATATGATACACAATTATGTAATTATTACAAAGGAGTAAAGTTACTTGCGAGTCATGATGTTCCTTATGAAAACGCAAAATTAAATTATGTATAACAGTGATCAGAGGGCTCAGCCAGTGGGCTAGGTATGGATAGCAGCATAAAATGAGTAATAACAGGATGACCTCAGTGAAGACCTAACATAGAAGAGCCCACAGGAAATAAATTATTAGACTGGGATGACAGACTAGAAAATATCCCTTAGTTTTACTGAGTTTTAACAGGTAACAAGTGGTTTTCAACATAATGAGAAACTCAAGAGGTTTGAAGATGATGAAACAAACTATAAAATTAGACTCCACACTGAAGAATTCAACACACTTTCCACCTAAATGATAGATACATGGCTGTGACAGAAGGGAAAATGAAAAAAACATTTCTGAGTCTCAGGAAGACTATACAAGATATAAATTCAGTAAAAAGGAACTAGTGCACACCACTGGGTATCTAACTGAAATAACAGAGCTACTGCTAACATCAGAAGCTAAAGAAGCCGTTCAGATTTATTCACTGCCTCACTTTTAGGGTTTTGACCTTTCCTAGGGAGACAAGAAAAGTATGGCAATCCCAGGTGAATAAAGTACAACAGGTGGAAAAAAAAACAACCCATCAAGAGCCCTATTAGTGTGAGGTACAAAAACAGAACTGCAGCCTGTCCCTTTTACCTCTTGAGGGTGCTCTCTGATGAAAAGGAGAGCAGGCTGGCTGTGGGCCTGGTACAGTATGACGGCCAGGAGCTGTCCCTGCAGCCTTTTCTGCATAACCAGAGAAAGCACAGGACAGGGTAAGCCTCGTATGTAGGTTTCTAGTCAACAATCAAGATCTGGTTATCTAATAACCAGCATCCACCTTGCAAGACCATTATTAACCGAGCCTTGCTTTTTTTCAACGTTTATTTATTTTTAGGACAGAGAGAGACAGAGCATGAACGGGGGAGGGGCAGAGAGAGAGGGAGACACAGAATCGGAAACAGGCTCCAGGCTCTGAGCCATCAGCCCAGAGCCTGACGCGGGGCTCGAACTCACGGACCGCGAGATCGTGACCTGGCTGAAGTCGGACACTTAACCGACTGCGCCACCCAGGCGCCCCAACCGAGCCTTGCTTTTATCAACATGCTAGCCTGCAGCATACCAGAATCGTCCATCACAGCGATAGCTTGCTCGGCTTTGTGCTGCAGAGCGAGAAGAGCAGCCTGTCGTCCCTGCAGGGCTCGCAGCTGCTCCTGCTGCTGTAACATCCTTTTTAATAAGTCATGCTGTTTCTTCAAATTTTCTATCTCTTCCATAGGTTCCTGCTGAGGATCTCTGGCCTGGAAAATAAGATCAACAATACTTGTATCTGATTATTAAAATTCATGTTCCTGTTTCAACTACTAATGGCAAAGTACATACGTAGATGATAAATTAGTATTAAACACACAACCCTCGATACAGTTTTAGTAGACTTGGAGAAAAAGATTTAAGAAAAAAATGATGACACAGAGAGAGCCTGCCGTATTAAGAGTTAGGTAGTTAGGTAATTTCACGGTAAAAGAGCATAATCAATGGCTTAGCATGAAGAGGAATTAACCAAGGGGGAGAAAAAGGCGTACAAAAAAAGTTACAAAGAGCTAAACACACACACACACACACACACACACACAAACGAGATCCGAGCCTTACAGAAAAGGAAGAACAAACAGATCATACCAGGTTAATTAATGCCCTAAAAAAAATATCCCTGCAGAAGATCTGGCTAAAAAACATTCTGCCTCACTTCTGGAAGTGACGTTAAAAAACACTAATAGGGGCGCCTGGGTGGCGCAGTCGGTTAAGCGTCCGACTTCAGCCAGGTCACGATCTTGCGGTCCGTGAGTTCGAGCCCCGCGTCGGGCTCTGGGCTGATGGGTCAGAGCCTGGAGCCTGTTTCCGATTCTGTGTCTCCCTCTCTCTCTGCCCCTCCCCCGTTCATGCTCTGTCTCTCTCTGTCCCAAAAATAAATAAACGTTGAAAAAAAAAAAAAATTTAAAAAAAACACTAATAAAACAAAAACAAACCCACTATTTTCTAACTGAGGACAGAAATTTTAGAAACACATTTTTTATTTGATAATCGGACGTGAAAGGATTTAATTTACTTGCATCTCATTTTATAAGCATAAAAATAAGACAGAATACTTTATATTTTGTATCAAAGATATCATTATGTTTTCTTTTAACATATGCTCATTTAGCAGAGTCTGAGAACATTAAATACTTTGAAATTCCCCCCAAATGCTACCATTTTGCCTAAAAGTAGAGGAACAAGATTAAACAGGTGCCACTTATAAGAAATCACAAAATTTTTAAACATTAATCTTAAAACCACTGAAATGTAACCCAATAAGAAAAACTGAAAGTCAATTAAGCAAAGAGACCAATTTAAATACAACTTGGAAAAAAAAAAAGGCCAAATTACATATGAAATGTATATATACCATATTGGTATTTTTCATTATTGATCTGTCTTTTTAAAAATCTTGTATTTTAAAAGTTTAATGATTTTACCTAATATTTACATAGACTATTTCTATTAAAAACATTTAGTCACTTTTAAACTTGCACTGCTACCAAATTTTGGTTGGAGTTATGTAGATTTTAAATGAATAATCCCCCCCCCCACTACCAAAGTTATTAAGGAAAATAAAGTTCAATAATTTCATTTGAAAGTAAAAATGCACTGATCTGCTTTCTCTATGTGATTCCTGTATAAATTACAGAAACACAGATGGCTCCAGAGAGATTCCCTTCTGAGTGACATCCCTTATCAATAACTATGCAAAACTCCCTTCTCTACCTCCCCGGGTAGAACTCATCAGTATTATGAATAACTTTTACACCGTGACTTGGCAAGCAATAAAACTAGTAAGTGAATAAATAAGAACATGGGTATGAATTAAATACTCTGAAGAAAATAGAATCAAATAAGGAAGTAAAAAGACTATGGTTGGAATATTTGACGTACGTATCAGAGAAGCCAGGACAGTGAGTGCTGTCTCTATCCTGTATTCAGTGACCAGACTTCATGAACATGGAAAAGAAATAACCTCTCTTGGACAAATCAGTACTTAAAGATTTTCTGTTGTCCTGAATTTCCTTTTTACATGAACTGTTTATTTAGTTCTCTCCCGACCTATACAAGTGGAGTTACGCTACTAACATTTACATTCATTCCTGTCATATACTCTGGTTTCTCTTCAGATCATATAAATCTTTCGCCTTTTAGATTCATTCCTGTCAAAATTCATCTTAGTTCTGGCTTATTTCAATTTGTGATCCTTTCATCCCTCAAAAATACTACTAAAGTATCTAAACTAATATATCTAAACTATTCACCCCTCAAGGTAACCTTAAAGCTATCTAAAGAGTTTACTAAATAACTAACATTCTGGGTTTTTCCCCTTTAAAAAGAAAACTTTTTAAAAGAACTTTAATCCTTGTTAGTCAGATTTATTTGCAAAACTCTGATACTAAAATTATAAAGAATCCTGAACTATTTATGAAAGTAAACACAATTACCTTCAGATTCTTCACTAATCCAAAATGATTTCCCAACAAGTTTTGAAATTAGTAGAGTTTTAATACTGTTTAATAAGTTCTGCATCCATATAAATAATATTCAAACTAATACTCGGGAAATCTAAGCTGAAGGAAGCAGGTAGGAACCACGGTCAAACAATAAAGAAAGGGAAGATAAGAAAATGGAAATAAAAACACCTAGGGATTAGAACATGCCAAACATGTTCTTAAACATATTTTTACTTAAACTTTTTGAGTCACCTTCAACAAGTACATTTTTAGTTTACAGATAAAAAAAAATAACTTAGGCATGAATTCCAAAGTTGCCTACAGGTAACAGTTCAATTTCAGAAAATTCTTTCTTTCCTCTAGTCAACTGAAGTTCCTCTAATAATTCATGGGTCCGAATATATTTTTATAGCTGAAAAGTACTTCAGATAATATGTCTCCAAGTTTTCTCATGTGAAAGCCCAGAGAAGATAAAACTGTGGTTTATCCATTATCACAGTTAGGGCAAGTCAGGTTCCTAAGTTCTAGGATAGCGTTTTCCACCCCATACTGTCTGCCCCCAAATTATGTGTTTAGATAGTTTTAAATACAAAAGTCTAAGGCACAGTGGTCAGAGGAAGCATAGTCTGGTTTGGGAGACAAAGTTAGCCTACATGAAATATACCTAGAAATGATGAAAACAATAGCAGAAAAGAAGTAGATAGTATTTTTAAAAGCTTATAAAGTCTCTAAAAGCTGATAGTACGCAGCAAAGAGAAGTATGGGCAAATAGTGAGACATGGGTCTTACAGAAGGCTTCTTTTTAAAAATTATGCAAAGTTTGGGGCGCCTGGGTGGCGCAGTCGGTTAAGCGTCCGACTTCAGCCAGGTTACGATCTCGCGGTCCGGGAGTTCGAGCCCCGCAGCAGGCTCTGGGCTGATGGCTCGGAGCCTGGACCCTGTTTCCGATTCTGTGTCTCCCTCTCTCTCTGCCCCTCCCCCATTCATGCTCTGTCTCTCTCTGTCCCAAAAATAAATAAAAAAATAAATAAAAAATGAAATAAAATAAAAATTATGCAAAGTGTCATCATATCTGTAAAATATTCCATAAAATGGATACTGTCCTTGTAAGCAGCTGGAGAATATCAACCATTTCCTATCCCACTGCAACTTACAATGATGCTTTAAGCTCTGAATTTCAGTTAAGAACTCCACTTTTTCCTACTCTTTTAAAAGAATATGACATCTTGTAAGAATGTTAAGTAGGAAATGAAGGTGAGGTGGGGAGAACACAATTCTGCACAGCAGAGGAGAAACCAAGTCAGTTGGTGAGAATTAGGGTTTTTTTCTAATGAAATATTACGAACAGAGTACTGATAGAACTGCCGTAGGAAGGCCCTAAGTATCAAAAGATTAAAGAGAATCAAATTGGAATAAACTCCGACAGTTCAATAGAGAATAATATTCACATATAATGACATTATTCAAAGGAACTAAAAACCAGAAAAACGGATTTTGAAATTAAGTATTTTCTACTTCAGGAAAAAAAGAAAAACTGGCAGATAGCATGCTGTAACAACTATCAATTCCTAAGTTTTGTCACTACTCAGAAGACTTAAGAAAGGATTAAGTTCCAAATAACATTTATTATGTCTCATACATTCTCTTCTCCAAAGGTATTAGTTTTAAAACTAATCAACTACTGGGGCACCTGGGCGGCTCAGTTGGTTGAGTGTCCAGGGCCATGATCCCAAGGTCATGGGATCAAGCCCCACACTGAGCTCCATGCTGAGCGTGGAGCCTGCTTAAGATTCTCTCTCTCTCTTTCTCTCTCTCTCTCTCTCGCGCTCACTCGCTCTGCCCCTCTCCCCCACGCATGTGCACTTGCTAAGAAAAATAAAAATTAAATAAAATCTTAAAAAAAATAATCAGCTACTTAATTTATTGTTATATTGGGGCACCTTCTGCTTAACATTTTATAGTTAAAGATCATCCCAGCTGATTTCAAACTAAATCCTCAGATTATTGTGGGAGCCAGGAAAAAATATAAAAAACAAAATCAACTGCCAAAATACAAGTTTTGTCATTTTAAACAACCAGAAAAAGAAAATGTGCATAACAAAACAAAGACCAATCCTAGTTAATATAAGCTACTAATAAAACGTAAGAAACTAGTCTAATCTATACATAATTACTAAAATAGTATTTTACTCTTGCCAAATGGAAACAAGATTTTATAAATGCTCTTTTATTGAAAGTTGTTTTACATGGAACTACACAAGCAGTTGTTTTCTTAAACCTTTCCTGAGCACCTTTTTGCAAATCATGGAAAATTAAAAGAACATTTAGAGCAAACATTGGCGGAAAAAAACAGCAAAACATAGTAATTCAACTTTTTTTGCTTTTTCAAACTATGAAGTATTTTTCTTAAAAAAAAAAAAAAAGGAATGGAAGAGGTTTCCAACAAGAAAAATATAAACCAAATAAAAAAAAGCACTATAAAAATACTTCATTCTTAGAAAGAAAAGTAATAGCCTACTCCATTTTCTTTTTCTTTAATGATTACAAGAATTAAAACTTAAAAGCACTATGTTCATCACGAATACAAATACCAGAAACAGCAACTAATGGTTAAGGTTTAGGAATGTTCTATCCTGAGTTCTCAAAGGCAAAAAAAAAAAAAAAAAAAAAAAAAAAAAAAAAAAAAAAAAAAAAAAAAAAAAAAAAAAAAAAAAAAAAGAAAAAGAAAATGGATTAAGTTTCAAGTCCTTTGTTAACGCAAATTAAATACAGCTGCCACATATAATCCATGCAGAGGAGTAGAAGAAAACAGAAAAGAATAAAAACACTAAGGGACAACACTTTATCAAAGCAAATTACAGTATAATTAGCCATGTTAAGAACTTACATATTTAAGAGTAATAGCAACAAGAGAAAAGCAAATAAGGAAGAGGAAATGTGAACAAAAGAGGTGCTCATTTAGAGACTTCCCAAATTAACATTGTGAAATATACCTTTGAGGGAAATCCACGTTTTCGGCTATATTTCCTATCAGGCCTCAGTTCCCTGTCATTCTGAGGAGGTCTGTCACCTTTCCCTTTTGGACTTGTGGTAACGTCTGAAACCTGTTCTTGTGAAGCTGAATTCCCTAGTTTGTCCTCAATGCACGGCCGAATTCTCAGACTAAAAGATGCCTCCTTTATTAAATAGTGTAGCATATTAATTTCTTAACACAAACTCCTGTTTAACATACAAGCCAGCCTTGTCAATAAATACAAAAAATTTACCAGTCCATCTCTTTAAAAATCAACCCACCCTCCCCCAAGTGGCATAAACTTAGACTTCTAAATTTCTGCAGACTAGACTAATGCTTACTGTAATCAAGTGAATATCATATCCTAGGCAATTTCCCAACTATACAACAACTAAAGCACATTTTAACATTTATTCTGCTGTTATTAAGCAACTTTCATAATGTCATTTTATGTTTATGAAAGAATTCTCATCACAGTGAACATTACATATGCATATACAAATTAGAATAATCAATTATACCATCGCCTACTCCTCCCCAAGAGAATTCCTTTACCCACATTCCCCAACTCTTCCATTTCTGCTGAAATGAAATGTGAGGAAAAAATCATTCCCAGCACCTCTGTAAACAGAAAAACTATTTTCCCACAACACAATCTATTTTCAACAACTGTTTGGATCAAGCCCCCTGAGTATCTCCTGGTGAAAATACTGTAGGGAAAAAAATTCAAATTTTTCAAATTAGGAAGGGCAGGGAAGAGAAAGGAGGCAGTAAGAAATTATGCAGGTGATACTAACAGGAAACAAACCCTCAAATTCCTCATGCTGAATGGTATTTTGGAACATATCTCAGAAACAAAAGATAGACACACATGGTTATCCTTTCATAAGAAAAGCTTTACTTGTAATAGGTTTTCAAATTTACTAATGCATGGTGATAGGTCTGCCTGTTAAAATTAAAATGCTTAAAAGCAGGTTCCAAAGCCCACTACCTTCTACAAACTAAGTTCATTTTACAAAGTTTTCCTCCAAGTTCTGTAAATTCCTGATTATTTTTTCAAAAACCAGTATCCTGATAAATTTCATTTTGCAGAGTTACAAGAATAAATCATAATGTAAATGCTACTGTATCCCATTTCATTTCAGTGTTTCAGTCATCTAGTTTTACTACAGTTCAAAAACTATCCTAGGAATGAAAAATCCCAGTAGCCTTCAAATGAGTCCTCAATGGCAAAAGAACTTGGAGACTTTTCCAACAGATAATATACTTTGTAATGGTACTTTGTACTTCCAGCTCCTTTTTCCACGATGAATTTTAACTTTCCCAATGCATCTTAAAGTGAGTAAAGCTGTGCTTAATGAAACCTACAGAAAAACCATGTTTCTGCAAGCCGATCAGAAATTACTAGATTTTCAAATCATCCATTAAAACATTTAATCTTAGTAAGAAAAACTTTTATATTTCCAGGTTTAAAAAGAATATATACAGCATTAACAACTTGAGAGTTTCTTCCCTGAAATATACTTTTCATTAAGGAATGCCTATGAAAAATATCATCTTGAAAAATGGGGGAAAAGCTTAAATCTTCATTTCCAGCACTTTTAATTACCAAAAAGCCGCTTACCGTGGTATCTGAAGCCTCAGACTGCACATCTATGTTTAGCGATGTGCTCTCAGCTACAGAACCAGATCCCACAGCTGAATCTATAGTCCGAACATCCTCCTCCTCATTTTCTCTAGCCTGAAATATTTTAGTGGTATAAATCATACAACTATTAAAAAGGGCAATAAAATGTTATAACGGATGGCATGATTTTTTGAAAACATATTAACTCCTCTGGGGTAGAGTCAGAATGCCATCAGCATATGTACACTAACATACCACAAAAATAACTCAATACGTTATTTAAAAGGTACAAAACTTACAAGGATTTTTTGGAGAAATTTCATATATGACTTTTCTTGCTCTTTAAGGTGATTTATTAGATGAGTAAGGCGCTCAACATTAGCAGATCTTTCATTTTTCTCTACAAGATCTTCCCGCATGGAACTAGCTTTAGTAATATAATCACGAATCTGAACAAGCCTGCTTACAATCTGCAGGGAAAACATTTGGAGGTAAAAAATAAACAAATAAAATAAACAAAAAGGCATGAAAATAAACAGTATGTAAAAACTGACCATAAATTATTCCACACCAACAATTCTACACATTTCTTATTTCAAATACAATAACCAAAGATACTTCTAGCTTTATCATTTGAATTTATACATGCAAAAGATCTGAATCAAATTTAGAATTTAATCAAAACATAACTGGCAATACTAACAACTCTAATTATTGGGAATTAAAGATTTTCAAAATTTGTTTTAATTTACATTACTTGAAAAAATTTACTTCCAGAACTGCATGCCTTTAAACCATTACTAACGTAAATTTTTTCTAACGTTTATATATTTCCTTAGCAGTATTCTAAATACTTCTGAAAGTAGTTTTCAAAAGAAATATATCACCATTTAAAAAAATTCTTACCATCATCTATTAATCACATTGTTTCAAACTCCCCTTTACCAAAATTTGGCAACACAGCCTCTGGTGGATAAACAGAAGCCCTAATTTACCTAGATATGGCACTTCTACAATCATTATGGGTAAAAAGAAGTTTACACTAAATTGAATAAATCTGAAAGATTAATGAGGAGAATCACACAAGTACCCAACTAAAATCCCTATGTGCATAACTCAGTAAAACTGAATCTTACTATTTCTACTTTGAAGTTCATGAAAACAAAGCAAAAGAAACATTTTACCACCTGGCTGCTCTCCATTGCAGGCTCTCCTCTTCCATCTTCTTCAGAGACTTGACAGTTTTGCAAAAGGTCATTACTTAAAGCGGAGGCAAACAACTCTTTACATTGTGCTGATCCAATCACTTCTCTCTTTGGAGGACTTACAGCAGCCTCTTTACTCTTGTTAGTATTAATCTGCATCGGCAAAAAGTTGAAGGGCTTTCGGTTTTCACCAAGCTGACGTTTGTTGTTGGCAGCTGTTGCTCTACCTTGAGAATCACTTCCAATGCTTCTCTATGTATGAAAAAGAAAACAAACCCCACAAACGTTAATTTTTCAATAAAATTTTTTTTCAAAAAACTCCAATGTTCTTAGTCAATTTCACCATCAGCTATTGATTCAGGAAGTATAGTTAAATATACTACTTTTGTACTAAGACACAGAAGAGATTCAAATCTACAAAATTCTTTTACTAAAATATCAAAATTTGATTAACTTGTCTTATTCCTCATTTTCTCAGACATAATTCAACTGATGAATATGAGCAAGATTAGTCTAAATGAAGTACTAGGACCACACACCATATTTATAACTCACATTGCTCATCAAACTTATTCACAGATTTTGTATGGGCTTTGGACCCAATGACTAAATATTAATATAAACATCACCACAAAGATATGTTTAGATGAAGCACTGTCTGAAAAAGTACTCAGCTCAGTGCCTGCTAACTAGCAAATGTTCAAAAATGAGTATATAGATGACTAAATGATATGGGATCACCACCACCATCAACCCAGACTTGAATGTACCTTTATGTGTATTTGGTAAACTGTTGGTTTCTCTAAAGTACAGATGTGACCATAAAATGTTTGTCAAGAGTTCATTATCATTTCCATTTGCTTTTAGCTCCAAATTTCATTTCAGTAATTATAAGACCAGCTACAGCTTTATTTTAAATTTGAGGTAATGTACAACATTCCCTTATGCAGTGATAAATTGGATCTTCCCTTTTGCCATCTTATTCAGTTACTAACATGCAAAATTTAGTTCCAGAATGAAATTATTCACATTAGTCACAGAGTATACGTAATAAAGTCACAAAAGACTTGTCCTTAGCAAGTTTAGAAATAAAGTCTTTGTTGCCCTCCAAAGAACCTAATACCAACACCACTAATTAAACTTCTTTCCATATACACAGAAACTAAGAAAAAAGAAACCGCTCACTTCTTACTCTTAAGCTATTTAACTCATTCTAAAAATTTCTCATCATTATAACTGGATTTTTAAAATAATTCACAAACCTGATCTAAATCACTGAAGTTTATCCGCTGTTTGAGTTTCTCTAGTTCTGCCTGCTCTGGAACAGACATCTGAGTCACATATCTACTATGTGGAAACGTATGTGGAGTCTTTGTTCTTCGCCTTCCAACTCCTGGTGATGACTCCGGAGAAATATCATTAGTTACCCTTTTATCACTTTCTACACCAAACTTTTTCTTATTCTTTTCTGATGATCTATTTGCTTTCTTCTGTTGGCCACCCCAATCCTTTAAAAAAGTAAAGGCAAAAGTTAATCTGGCCTCTATCAAACCAGGAAAGTAATCTGATATGCTTAAAAAATTGGGGTCAGTCTTAAAGTTAAAAATGACAAAACATTTTTCACATAAACATACAGACTTAAGAGACCTTATTTATTTCTACTAATGCATTTTCTATTACATCTAGCCTAAGTTTCGCAGATGGTCCTTCAGAAAAGAGATTACTTTCCTATCGTAGATCTTTAACAAACATAAATCCCCAAACTCTAGTCAGTCTGGATACTTTCAAAACCATTTTTAAAAACTGGTTCCCTACTATTTATAAATTGGATAGTATAATAAATTATAGATACCTTTACTGACCTCCTTTAAAATCAATGTGTATGATGAGAAAACAGATCTGGAATCCACCTGGATTCTGAAGTAATTATTGTTGGGGCACCTGAGTGGCTCAGTCAGCTAAGCATCCAACTTACGATTTCGCCCCAGGTCATGATCTCACGGTTCGTGAATTTGAGCCCCGCATCAGGCTCCATGCTAACAGCACAGAACCTGCTTGGGATTCTCTCTCTCCTTCTCTTTCTGCCCCTCCCATTTGCAAGCTCTCTCCCTCTCTCAAAATGAATAAATAAACTTAAAAATAGTTAAGTAATTACCATTATCTGAAGAAAAGCTCCACTGTATGACCCTAAGCAATTTAACTTCCCATAGTCTCGGTTTCCTAATTTCTAAAATAGTGTCACCTTTAAAACATGATTAAAAACAACATTCATAAAACATCTAGCACAGTGGCTAGCATATAGTAAGCAATAAACGTAACTATTGTTATGTTTTACAGGCAACAATGCAGTACATGATAAGGCCTGACATGAAATGACAAATATGATTCACATTTTAATGGGAAAACATTTTTATTTACTTAGTTATACCAACATAACCTAAGTCATTCAACAAAAAGGTCTATAAATTCCTACCTTAGCCATACTGGAAGAACTGTCTAGTTTTACTACAGCAAACCCTTACGGGATATTCTCCTCATTTATAACACAACTGCCTTCTCTACGAACTGTCTCTCCACCCCAATCAATCCATGTGTGGGTGTTCTTGCCAACCTGTTGTTCTACTTACCATACCCCTTCCTGGCCACAGATGACTGGAAAAGAGATGTATATCTAATCCAAATTGGGATGATCATACTTTAAAAATTTCAAATTGGAACTAAAAGATAACTAGTCAGTATATAATTGTAGCCATAAACGAAACTTTTGAATGAAGGGGCAACCACAAGAGAGAAAACCGGTCTGCGAAAAGAAAGTTGTGTTAAGCAAAGGAATTCAGAAGCAAATAGGGTAGTGAAAGAGCAATTCTTGACACTTTCTAGTTCCTTTTTCTAGTCTCTTCCTAAAACCCAGCTATAGACCTCTAATTTGTTTAACTGGTTTTCCATAGAACATCTTTAAAACCTTATAATAAATTAATATCTGTTAACTATAAACAAAAACGTCTTCAACTAATATAACAAATAGCCCAGGGTCATTTAATGTCTTGGCCAGCAAGAAAAAACTGTGCTTACAAAGAGTCTCAGTGAGTTTGATTTGGCTAAGGCAGGGGAAAGCTGAATTTTAACACTAGTAGTTAACGACACACAACTGATCAGAAGTTATCATACCATATTGTTAAGTCGGTCATCAACACCTTCAGTGCTCCAGTTTGCTATCTCCTGATCATTCATGCCTTCTTCAAAAGGACCTCCTCCTGTAGCCATCCTAGCTTTACCAATTAATTTTCTGCAAAACAAGTGAACACTAATATTTTTAACACATAAAAACAAACTCTAACTTTTAAATCATCCCATGAGGTTAAGTGATATAAAAGATCTCAGAAAAATTGATTTAATGAAATAGAAAGAGGTACTGTCAACCACGTACCATAAACAAATTGATTTAGCTGCCAGACACCTATTACAATTAACATGAGTTAAGTAGCTGTAGTGATGGGAAGGGGAAGGAAAACTTCAAAATATGCACCATGTGTCCTGGCCTGCATGCTTTCAGGCTACTTTAATTAACTAATTGAACACAGTCTTACAAAACAGAGCAATGAGGTAGGAAAAAGTTACTAAGGGCTAGAACCAAAACTGCTTGTAGAAAAAAAAAAAAACAAAACTAGGGGCGCCTGGGTGGCTCAAGTCAGTTAAGGATCTGACTTTGGTTCAGGTCATGATCTTACGGTTCATAGGTTTGAGTCCGGCATCGGGTTCTGTGCTGACAGTTCAGAGCCTGGAACCTGCTTCAGATTCTGTGTCTCCCTCTCTCTGCCCCTCCCCCACTCGTGCTCTCTTTCAAAAATAAATAGAATAAATGTTTGCTCAAATCCTTTACTCCTTTAAAAAAAAAAAAAAAAAAAAAAAAAAAAAAAAAAAAAGAAAGAAAGAAAAAAAACTAATACTCCCAAAGACCTGGGTATTGGGTTTGTGTTAAAGTTTCAAAGAGGTTAGAAGTGCTCTGCATGAAACGTGGAGAAAGGTTTGTTTTTAATAGAAATGTAGTGGTAAGCAAGATAAAGAAAGGGCAGGGAGAGAAGAAGGCCAAGGTGGGTGAATGGCCAATAAAAGCCAAGAATACAGTGGCTTAAAACATTTAAGAAGAGTGATGCCAATTGCTTTACTTCAAATTTTATTTCTGCTACCTTAGTTCCCCCTAAATCTTGAATACTCTACCAAAGTCAAATTTTCCCCACTTAAAAAAAAAAAAAAAAAAAATTGAGGATTATGTGACTATCAAGGAAGGTACTGAATTTCATACCTGGGTCAAAGAGATGAGAAACAAAAAGAACAATGGTGGAAGCAGACGTTCAGAAGCAGAGATGAATCAGGAGAAAACAAGATTTCTACATAACCTTGTGAAGGACTCTGGCTTTCCACCAAGTGTGGAACTTGCAGGTTGGAGAAGGACTGAGTAAAAGAGATGGGCAGATAACTTTACTTAGAATTCAAGGGGCAGAGAAAGGCATTAAACAGTAGGGTTATATTAGGTTTCTCACTTTACAAATAATAACAGTAACATTCAAAGGAGTTAGATAATTTCACCAAGGTCACTCAGCTAAAAATGTCAAAAAGGAATACAAATCCAAGCTACATTGACCGTAAGATCCTAACTTATCCCATTCACTAGAGCAAAATATTAAAAGGATTATCATCCATGAGAAGTAGGAATCATATCGTAGACGTTTTATTGCTAGAGTATCTACTACAATAATATATTAACAGATTACAGAGAGGTTAAATTTTAGCATCTCAAAAAAGTAGTGATAAAATTCAAACACTTAATTCGGAAAAATCTTAAAAAGTACAAATACAAGGGTGCCTGGGTAGCTCAGTCAATTAAGCATCCGACTTCAGATTAGGTCATGATCTCACAGCTTGGGGAGTTGGAACCCTTTGGGCTCTGTGCTGACAGCTCAGAGCCTTGAGCCTACTTCAGATTCTGTGCCTCCCTCTCTCTTTGCCCGTCCTCGACTGATGCTGTCTCTCTCTCTCTCTCAAAAATAAACATTAAAAAAATTTTTTTAAACAGTACAAATAGAGTGACACTTTCTTATAGTTGTATATATTATACTGTTTGTGGGTTTTTTCTTTTTTTTTAAATTTTTTTTTCAACGTTTTTTATTTATTTTTGGGACAGAGAGAGACAGAGCATGAACGGGGGAGGGGCAGAGAGAGAGGGAGACACAGAATCGGAAACAGGCTCCAGGCTCTGAGCCATGTGGGTTTTTTCAATGAGCATATATTACATTAATAATTTTCTTTTTTTTTGTAATTTTTTAATGTTTTATTTTTAT